ATTCCCTGGGAGTGGTTTAAGTCATAATAATAAAAAAAAAACAATATTTGTCTCTACACTATATTCCCAGCAAAATAAACCACATACTTGGCACAGATACTGTTAATTATGGGATTTATTTTATTAACAATATATAATGAACAGTAATGTTACTAAATCTAAAATACTTACAAACACTTGCAATTCACTTTTTAATTAAGCATTACCTTAGTCATTAGCATGCTTTTTGCAAAGAAGTGGTCAATTGAAGATGCAACGGTGTTAATTTGGGTCATGTCCATCGTTTACTTTTGTTGCCTCAGTGTCCAAATAACCTAATCAGAATTTGTACATAACTTTGGGAGTTGAGTAATGATGTTCAATTCACTGATTAACTTCTGCTTGATGCTGGCTAGGATTTTATGGTACTTTCAAAGAGTTCATAACTTGTAATCATCGTCATTGTCTTCAAGATTGGATGTGTCCTGGATGCTGAACAGGTCAAGATGTAGGCACCTAAGGACAGTGTTTGTAGTAAAGTGCAATACATGGGGTCTTTTTATGCACTATACCAAACATGTTGGAAAAGGCTACAAAGATGCTCGGTTCTGATTAGATCTGAGTATACATCTCAGCTGTCTGCTTTGTGACAAGATGTGAGGTCCTACTTACTGAAATTTTAAGCAGACATTAAATCCACATTGATAAGTCTTCAATGTTTGAAATTTAGTAGCTTGACTGATGTTTTTATTACTTTCAGATTTTGAAGCTATGAGAACACAACGATACAGCTAAGAAGCATACTTTGGCTGTTTTTTCCAGTTTCACACTTTACGCATATTTTATTAAGCTAATCTCACAGATGTAAGCAACCTTACATGACTGGAAATTGCATAACTATGATCTAAATACAAGCATGACAAAGTCCTTCCTGTTCTCTCCGAATACACTGTCCTACTAAGACCTCATCTAGAGAACTGTGTCTAGTTCTACACACAAATATATAAAAAATATATTGCTGCTCTGGATTCAGTCCAGAGAAGTGCAATCAGACACAGTCCCAAGCTTAGATGAATTTCCTACACTGATAGACTAAACCTTAGATTTAGCCTTATTAGTCTTGTACGGAGAAGACTACAAGGGGACCTCATTCAAACATTCAAAATCCACAAAATCTTTTGAGAAAGTCAATCCTATTGACTTCTTCAGACTCCACGGAGACGTATGAACCAGAAGACACACATGTGAACTTAATGCATTTAATACCTAGAACTGTCTGTTTTATTTAAAAAAATGACTGGATGTTATCCTTAGATCAATTAACTACTAAATTCCTAATTGGCTAGATGGGCAGAATGGTCTATTCTTATTTGTAACCTTTCTTACCAGCAATTGGTGTTTTATGGGCTATTTTTTCTTTTCTTGACGAATGTCAAACAAACATGGATTTCTACTTTTTGGTACAAAGCTCCTGATGATCACAGTACTCCAAGATCATGTCAGCTGCAATCCCAGCGGAATGAACGTGACAGTAATATACCATACACTCTGAGGAAAGCTGGATTGTTTTTCCCTTCAAAATATCCTTTAATGATTATAAAAGTACCGCCTTACTTATATGGATGTGTGATATGGCTGACAAAGAGATGGAAGTCTGCTTGTAGAGACAATATTATTCACAATTTTAGCATTTTACTGAAAAGAAGGGTTTATATGTTAAGCACTGTTACACACCTTTTTCACATGTTCATTCTGCTTTGCACTACAGCCTATAAATGTGATGTGGGCTTTCACCTTTACAGAATGCATGGAAAACTGTAAAAAAAACTGAACAAAAACTTTTTTAACTCACACTGATTCCGATTTTTGTTTTGAGCATTAATTGCATTTTTTATTTTGAATACTGTATATTTGATGTATTTTTTTAAATTTTGAACTATTGCATTGCTGTTCCTCGTAGTGTTACAGCTACTCATACGGTTCCTGTACTGTATTTTAGATGAGTACTGCAGTAGTATTGCACTGGAATCTATAGTATTTCATGCATGTAAACATGTTATTTTATTATTGCATTTACTTGAGTTGTAGTTTTTCAGCCTTTGTAATTCTCCCTGGCATGAAAATCAATTACAGGTTGATGTTTTAAGGCCTCATTTTTAAAATGGACTATAATCTTGAGAATCTTCTATGGAACAGAAATTCATGTGTTTGACATTGCTATAGAAAAAGCTCAAATGTCACAGTTGGCCTTTTTCTAAGTATAGTACAATGCTTGCATTCAATCTATCAGTATTTGCACTTGCCTATATGGAACCTGATGTTGTATTTTTGAACATCCTCTTTTGTGAACATGTTCTACTTAAGATCTCTTCCAGATGCAAGAACATTGAATAACTTTCTTAAAATGTGGTTCCAGCTATTTAAGTTCTTAATTAAGAAAGAAAAAGGAAGGCAGTTTCTAAGCAATTTTCTCAACTCCCTATCTTAAGAAATGTCTACTAGAGCAAATTAATTCATTGCGCTATATTGATCATGCAAAAATAAAACCCAGCATTTTCCATGGAATGGTAATCTTAGGAAGTAGCTATTTTTCTCATAATTAGACTAGCAGAGACATGTAAAATATTTAATAGTGTTGTTGATGTAAAAACTGCAATCACTGGCTGTTCAGATTGATGGATTGCATTGAAAGTGATTATATAATAATTTCAGCAAACAGATTAGTCTGTAACACAATGTTATAAATAAAAGCTTAGTATAATATATGTATATGATGGTATCATTATGACTTGTATAAGCACCATGACCTTTCTAAAGCTATCTTGCTTGAAACTATGCAATTCATGGCACTCCTATGGTCTTGACCTGATCAGCAACTGCTAAAGAGCCCTATTTTGCATATGTGTGACCAGTCCTTGACCGATTTCTGTGAAAGTCAACTGTCCAAGATACTGTCATACCGGTTTTGTGCTATGTATAGGCTGCTGTCCTACAGATTTGGGATTTTTTTTCACAATACACAGAGCATTGCCACCTTGCATTACCCAAAGGCTAACACAATAAATTATTAACGCCACTCATAGCTTCAGTTCTATGGACATTACTGACTTTATGGTTGTAAAAAAAAATATTTCTCAAGTAAACTGTGCAAAAAGAATGTCTCTGTTAAAAAATGCTATTCTTTTGAAAATCAAGAATATTTTGGTCCTTTCCACACCATTTACTCCACCAAAGTAGCTTCACTGGCAGCATCGTAAAGCATAAAGTGTCTCCTTAGGGAACACACTGCCATAAAAGTGGATGTGAGATTCATCATTAATGCCACCTCTGCCCCATGATGTAAAGCCTGCTCTAGTTTTTCTTGTCAATAAAAAATGTGTTTTCATGTAAACCACGAAAACAAGGCCAATGCCCCAGGGTAAGCAAATGCTTAACCATTACATCTTAGCTTTTATTCCAAAGACTCCTGTGGTTTTCTTTCTTTTTGTTCAATAAAGCTTAAAAAAGTAGAAAGGACAGTATTCCAGCCTTAAATGTGAACGTCTTCTTCTCATGAACAGACACTGAAAAAATATTCTGCTCTTCTGGAGTATTTTGTTGAGAATTCCTATACAAATAGAGTATGAATTTATTCCTCTCATTGACTCATTGAGTCATTTTCTATGTTTTGTTCTTACTGTATTTTTTCTGTGATGGCAAATCCTGTACTTAAAGGAGAATCTTTTTTAGGTTCAAAAGCATTACACCATCATTTTAGGTTGTACGAAAATCGGCAAAATGGAGGAGGAAACATGCACACACATGAATGGAAACCTAACTTTAGGGTAAAGAGAAATAAACAGTGCTTGTTAATAATATTTCATATTTACACATACTGTACAGTGCTAATTAGCTCACAATTTTATATGTTAACAGCTCAGCAGGTTTCCCAAAGTAACATAAAATCTCTCTCAGCATTCATACTTAAAGCTAAAAATGAGAAAAGAATGGAGGTATTTTAGTTAAGATTTAAAGTATAATATACCATGGATATTTTGTAATATGTACAGTATACAATGTCTCCATATGCAGTAATCAAATGCCTTATCAATATATCCATAATAAATAGGAAAATCATAATTCGTCGCATTTATGTGCCACTTTGCACCCCAAAGAACTTTACATATTTGAAGGGACCCATATTATCCACCAAAGGAAAACTGCATTCAACTGGGTAATGTGTGGCACCCATTTTACACCACTAGCCCCATAAACAACAGATCAGGGGGAGAAGTGAGAAAATGCTTCACCTATTAAATTAAAAAATTCAGGTTGTACAAATTGTGCAGACCTAAAATGGAACTTATCTAGTGAAACAGAGCTCATCCCCGTAGTCTCACAAACAGTGTCCAGGGACTTTAACAACAACCAAACTGCCAGGACAGAAAAGCAGTTTGTACGGCACAGTATTCCTTATTGCCATACTGGGGTATTAGTTTTAGAAATCATGCTTCAAAGGAAATAGTTACACCTACTGGTCTACTTAAAACACATACAGCAGCAACCTTGGTATCTTTAGTATCTTTATCCCAAAAATGACCAGACTTCTGAGATCTGAGATCAGATCAAGTCAGGATCTAAGATGTTAATGCTGCTGTGAAGCATTCAGCCCAAAATATTACTGTAATGTTAGAAGTCATACAACTGCTACTTACAGCAGTCTTTTTGTTGTTCTTTTGTATGTTGCAGCTTTCCGGCTGTGCTGTGTTCGTAGACTACACTGAAATCTTCTTTAAAAATGATCTACAAATTGCTGATGAAAACAATAATTAACGATCTTTAAAATCACTAGACACGTTAGTTAAATCTTGTCTAGAACACAAATACCTCTATCTTTTTATCACTCCCTATAGTGCTGGTAAAGTAACGGTCTATTTTAGATTTCGATACACTGTACTGTGATTTCGAATTTCGCGTTCTTTTGCTGATGTAGCAGGTAGTGTGAGGCTCACCAATTCGTGCCGTTTGAGCACTACAAGGATCCGTAGGTGATCTTCACTTGAGGAAAGATGGCCGCGGAATCGAATGAAGTTGAAATTGAAACAAGACGCGACTTGACTGCAACAGAGGAGGTAAAAATAAAGTATTTTCATGTTCTTTGAGTGATATTGTTGTCATAGTTTCATAGGTAAATTATTTATATAATATCACTTCAATGTTTAGGCGTTCTGATCGTCGTAGTAAGGTTAAGCATTGACGAAACGTGTACAGGCCTTCCCTGTACTATAAAGAACTCCGGTCTGTCACACATGGCGCAATGCAAGTAAACATTTCTTCCCTTGGGTATAAAAACTATTAAAAATATTTCTGCATTATGATTTTAATACATTTCCTAGCTTAAAAAGTTTTTTTTCCCCTGTTACTAATATGACCCAGGTTTAATTAGTCGAAAATAAACTATTACTAGTATACGCATTTTTGGTTAGTTTATAACTAAAACATTGTTGAATAAAACGCGTTTGTCTGCATCATCTAAGGTAAATCTGGAGTTGTAGAGACGATAACTTAGTTATCAACAATATTAGAAAAGTGTACGTAAGCTTCTCGCATTTTGTTATTGTTAGGCCGAATTTAATAGGAACAGGTGTTGGTATATTTATTCCATTTTTCCCTCGGATACTAGATCCGTAAGTACACAAATTATGGCGACGAAGTTTTTATAGATAGTTCTAGTGCAGGTTTAGATTCGGTGGTTGTATAAAATGTTTTGGAAAACAATTAAGAGTTTTATTTCGTCCTGTCTGTGATGCGTTACTGGTTCCAGGAAGATTGTAGATGCTTTTCCTTCCGTTAATATACACTTGTGGCACTGCTTCACTCTTAGCGGATTTTCTCAAGATAAACTGAAATGTAGGCCTACATGCTGTGAATATTGGAAGTAGCAGCATACTCCATTTGATGAGGAGAAGTTCAGTTACCTCAGTGAATTGTGAGCATGTCAGTTACCCGTTTTCTAAACGATAACTGTTTATCGTTCAGTAAAGGCCATAGGGTTCATTTATGGTGAATTTATGTCATTTATGTATTTTATTGATTATATGTAAAACACCCTTTCATTTGCTTTGTGGTGGAGGAAAACGTTAATGCCAAATGGACTGGTGTTGAAAATTCAAGTATTTATCCGTATTTTTCTGATACAATTAATATAAAATAGTCAAATAAGATAGCAGCACTAATTAAAATTGAACATTGCCAGCTGTTGCTTAGCACTGCTTTTACTTTTCACTAGTGTAATATGTAGACAGTACAAGTTGTTTGAATTTTCTCCCCAATACCTGTGGTTTTGTGAACCAAAACCAGTTGTGAACCGTGAGATCTTCAAACATTTTATCGTCAAGATCAATTTGATTGCATTATACATATAATTTATGTAGCATCTCTGATGGTATTCTAGTTCCATCTCATTTCTGAACTGATTTTTGAACGCAGGTAAATTGAGTGGGAAAGATAGAATTTTATTGTGAGGGAAATGTAGTTAAGGAAATGAAGTGTCACAGCACGGGGAAATCACTGAGTCTAATAGTGTAAAAAAAGTCAAGGGTGTGTGTTAGTTTTGTCGGAATGTTATCTTTTTATTTGTTATCTTAGTGTAGAATTAAATTCTGAATGTTTTCAAATGGTTTTGCATTCTTATTATTTAGAAAATGTTTTGAAAGGAATAAGCAGTCTGTCTAAAAAGTGTAAATCTCATGGGTGGTACTGAAAGGCAGGTGTGACTTTTATAATAATAATAATAAACTTTATTTTATATAGCGCCTTTAAAGGTGGCTTCTCAAAGCGCTTTACAGGATGACAATAACAATAAATAAGAAGACTACAACAATAAATAAGAAAATTTCACAAGACAGGACACAATTATAATTACAACAATACAACAATAACAATAGAGGAGACCGTGGAAGATGGTATTAAGAAGAGCAGAGGGGTGAAGAATGGAACCAGTTAAGTAAAGGCTTTTCTGAAAAGGAGGGTTTTGAGTATGGATTTGAAGGAGTTTAGAGAAGGTGACTCTCTAATATCCTTGGGCAAGGAGTTCCAGAGCTTGGGGGCATAGCAGGCGAAGGCCCTGTCGCCCATACAATGTAGACGGGCTTGGGGGACAGTAAGGAGGGCAGAATTTGAAGAGCGGAGGTTGCGAGGTGGGGAGTAGGGCGATAAAAGTTCAGACAGGTATTGAGGTGCCAAGCCATGTAAAGCCTTGTAGGTGAGCATGAGGATTTTAAAGTCTACGTGGAATTTGACCGGAAGCCAGTGCAAGGACTCCAGGATAGGAGTAATGTGAACACTTGCACTAGATCTGGTCAGGATTCTGGCTGCTGAATTTTGGACATACTTTTAGATATGTTTGCAAAATCTATTCTCTTCTGTAGCAGCAATGACATCTAAGACTGACATAAAATTATTGAAGCTGAATATGCTGACATATTTTTTTACAGAATTGTGAGACATTTACTTTGAGTTAATAATAATTCTTAATTCCTCACACTTATACAGGACTTTTCTGGACACTCAATTCAAAGCACTTTACAGGGAATGGGGACTCCTCTCCACCACAACCAATGTGCAGCATCCACCTGGATGATGCAACAGCGCCAGTACACTCACCACACACCAGCTGTCAGTAGGGAGGGAACAGAGTGATGAAGCCAGTTCGTAAATGGGCTTATTAGGAGGCCATGATTGGTAAAAGCCAATGGGAAATTTGGCCGGGACACTGGGGTAACACCCCTACTCTTTTCGAGAAATGCTCTGGGATTTTTAATTACAACAAGTCAGGACCTCGGTTTTACATCTCAACTGAAGGATGGTGTCTTTTTTACAGTATAGCATCCCCGTCACTGTACTGGGTATTAGGACCCACAAAATAGACCGCAGGATCAGCGCCCCTTACTGTCCCCTCTAATACTTTTTCCAGCAGCAACCTTAGTTTTTCCCAGGAGTCTCCCATTCAGGTGCTGATCAGGCTCACACCTGCTTAACTTCAGTGGGTTGTCAGTTGTAAGTTGCAGAGTGATATGACTGCAAAGTTAACATTTTGCTAAGCAGTGTTTTGGATTTTATGTTCTTATTCAGGTTTATATTTACCGTAGTGTTTTGCGTGTTATAAGTTTTAGTTGACCTTTGACGCAGACAGAAGTGTGTGGACAGGTTGAGGATAATGTTCTCTGATAACAGTGCATCTGTTATTTTCTTGTTTTTCTTAATTTATTTCAATAGAATTTGATAACCAGCCAGTGTAAGTTATCTTTTCCTTTATACAAATGCCTGCAACCTTAAACAAATCCCAGGATTTCACAATATATTTGAAGTAATGCTTTGCCAGCAATGTTCATTGTGCTGTAGGAGATACCATCCTTCAGCCAATGTGTTAAATCAAGATCGTGATTAAAGATTCCATGACAGTGATGCAATTAAATCCAGTAGCTTGACTAAATTTCACCCATAAGACTATGGGAGGACTATGTATAAAAAGGACTGTGATTCTTATATGGTTCACCCAATATAGACGTAAAAACCCTCACATTAAAGCTGACATTCTGCACTTTAACTTCATATTCATTGTTTCATTTTAAATCCAATGTGCTGGAGTACAGAGCCAAAACAATAAATATTGTGTCACTGTCCAAATACATAAGGACTGCACTACCAGATGGTATTCCTACTGCTGTTAATCAAGGCATCTTAAGAATTATAGTGTTCTAAAAGTTTAAAACTATTGTTGTCAGGATATTGTATTGTTGACATGTACAATGAGCTGGAAATTGAGGTTGTCGTCACGTAACATAGTCAGACAGATATTTCTTTTTATAAATGACACGAATATGCAATTTTTGTCTGAGAGCTCTAATATTTTTTTGTCATTGTAAAGCACCATTGGTAATGGCAATTAGGGTTTGTGATTGAGTGCAGTAATAAATACTTAGATTTCATATAGCAATAAGCATTTCACCTGCCCATTTCCTATTGAAAACACAATTTTGGTCTCTTGAGGAGATTTTCATTGTTAATAACGCATGCAGTGACATCTGTTCAATAAATGACATGACATCTACTTCAAAAGATGCATTTGGCAGAATTGACATTTTCTTTCCCTGTGGGATAAATAAAGTGGATTCAAGATGTTATGAGTATGTTGGACACAAGTAGAATGCATTACTCATCAGAGCATTCTGGAAAAAAATATTTTCACTCAATGTGAGCTAGTTCAACTAGCAGATAAAATTTTAAAATGGATCTTCGTTTAACTTCAAGTGAAAGTATTGTCATGGCTACAGCCTAGTATCTGTTTAGATTTGAAAGAAGGATAGTAGGAACACAGGTGAAATGATAAACTAATGAGAAAAAGGACAAGAAAGGGAATGTCATCTTATGTAGGCAACTGGCAGGCCACAGAGGGATCATTACTTAAGGTTCTTTAACCCCCACAAGCCTGACATCAGGATGGTATGTATGAACAACTGTGGATTTCTGGTCACAGATGGCTAATATGTCAATTCTGGACTAGCTTGCTCCCTGCAATGAGGCCGATACTGCTTCATCCAGTCAGCTGCCTTGGAATTTTACCATAAACAGCATTTTAACATTCATTTCAGTAAGAAATATATTTTGGTGTCAGTATTAGCCTGAAGAATTGTCCTGTAATCAAGAATAATGCTGTGAATGAGGAGCACAAATAATTGAAATCATCTACTTTATGAAAAAGTGATCTAACAGTTTTCCTACTCCACAGAAATTTTTCAGTCTTTAAATTCCATATTGGCTTGTGGGTATTCAAAATTCAGCTGGACGTGAATTTTTGTCAAGTGGTTCGGAGATTCTGGTTTGGTGACTTGACTGTGTGCAAGATGGGGCTGTAATAAGCTTCCTGGTATCTATAGGTGATGAGCACTTGAGGTTTGAGCAGTTCCTTTGAGGCTATAGGCAGAAGTGACTAGAAACCTGTATGGAAACAGAGCAACTGGTAACCTTAAAATTAGCTCAGGGAAAACAAGTGCAGAGAACTAATTGCATTAGCTTTGAATATTCCATATTACTAACAGGTCCATACAGTTTTGTGATGTTGATTTGGAAGTGCAGTAGGTAATGAAGCAGCACAGCTATTAAAATATATAATTCTAATTTTTGTAGGGTATTATGGTTTATTACATTTAAAACCCTCAGAAATGTATATATTGAGACTTATGAATAATGAATTAGCTGCATTAGTGAATGGTAGTCATTCGCATCTCTACAGCTTTTTACCATGGATTACATCAAATTTATATCCACTTACAGGCCTGATAAATGTGTTATCCTTTAAACAGATTTTGCATCTGTAGTTGATGCACATGGCTTTTTTTTTGGCAAATAGCGCTTATATAAATATGATAACTTAAAGCCACTCCTTCAATTTCAGAGTGGAATTGAAGTATCACATGTTTGTGAAAACTCCTGCTGCTATAAATTTGACATTCTTTGTAGCATGATTTTCCTACTGGGCGTAAAAAACACTCAGCAGCGTTATTGCATTGCAAGTGGGTCCCGAAACGTTGCAATGTGTATAACCTATAACAGCACAGCTGACAAAGTAGGTATTGTGACAAAAAAAATAAGTCTTTTAAAGTTGTTTATATTGAAGTTGAAAGAGGAGGTTAAAACATCTATTGCAATCCGAAAACGTTTTGCACCATCAGTAAAGCTTGAAGAGATTAATAAAAAAAAAATAGTTGTAGTTTTAAACCTGAAATTGTTTGCATTATTGTGGCTAACATTTTAATGAGCTGGGCTCCCTGAATTATTCTTCTGAGTGTGTTATTCATTTAAGGTGATGTATCTGTGAATGTTGTATTCATTGGAAAGAAGGAAGTATATCCTAAGCTTTGGAAATATACACTTATATTCACATTCACAAGAATGTTTTGCAAAAAAGTTTCAGGTATTTCCACAGGAAGAAATTATGGGTGATTAAAAAATAAGTCATGTCATGAAACTTGTTTGAAAGAACGCCAGAGTTGTGTTTTCTTTTATAGAAATTTGTTAGGACATCCTGGACTTCAAACTATCAAATGCAAAAGTCACTAATGCACACTCACAACACATCTCAGTTAAATGTTTGTGGTCTTTAATAAAAGTTGTTTGCGTTGGCTTCCGTAATCTGTTTTGAAGATATTTAAGATCTATGGAGAATCGATATCAATGATAATTGGAATATTTAGCATACAGAAATGGAAAAAGCATCTCCCTATCCTAGACTCTCTCTTATATACCGCTAGAGGCCGCCACTGCTTTTACCAGGTATTATCTTTGGTCAGATGAGTCAGAAATCCTATGTAAAATTGATGTGTAATATATTATGCATAGCCTGAGAGTCCAAATAAATTCTTTTAGCTTAAATTGTAAGAAAAGTTTGAATGCTTGAAATGATTAAAAATTACCTTATGTCTCTTACATTTTCGTTTTTGTTAATTCAGTGTATTTTGAACTGATCTGCAGTTGTTGCACAAACGTGTAGCATAAGGCCTGAATTTAGCAAAGCTGTTGTCTAGGAGCTTTGAGCTTTGATTTGTTCTCAGACACCTTTCATTTGTGCCGAGGACAGTACACCTCGAGCTGTTTTTGTGTGAGGCGTCCTTTATATTTCACAGTGCTATATCAGTACAACTTCAACTAGTCAGATTTGCATCGTATTTTCCTGAAATTTGTCCCTGATTACAATAAGTTTTCAATCACATTTTTACAGTGAAATGCATTAAAAAATGAGATTTTTCTCAATACTTCCTCTCTCATATGGTCTCTGCTGAGAATTGTGTGCTGTATCGCATAAAGGGCTCTGAAAGTTTTTTTTCTTTTATGCAATTTCTGAGTTTTTGAATGATTTATGGTTTAACATGATTATGTAATGTTTTTTTTTTTTTGCGCTTCTGTTCCTTTTTGACCATAGGATTTCTGCATCACTTGATTCTTTTTTGGCTTGTATATACATTTAAGTGTTGCAGTTCTCAGTTTTTGTTGCTGTTAGATTGTTCTAGCCATTTGTTTAATGTGTATGTAGTGTTACTTTGGTGTAATTTATGCAGTGCTGGCATTATTATGCATAGTTATGGTTTCTGTGGTAGCTCTTATAGTAGATACATGGGGTTGACAACAAACCTGTGCTCCAGTTTCAGCATATCTTCATTACTTCTCTTGTCTCTTGTGCACAGGCTTCCAATTCTCTTACCATGGATCAGTCTCCAAGAAGCCGGAGCTCCTCTGAGGAAAAAGAAGAGAGCACAAGCAAAGGAAGAAAAAGTGGTAAGTTATGAATTTGTTCATGAAGAGCACCTTTCCTCAATGAATGTTTATTTTCTTCATTTGTTTTCTACACTAATTATTTTAGGAATGCCAGAGATGGATTTATTACTTTTCTGCTTCCTGGCTTTTGGATGGTCTGAGTTGGCTTGTGTGTTTTGAGTTGCTCTTGAACGTGACCAACTGGCTCCCTGAAGACCATCTAGTGATTAATATGGCTAGATGAAAACTGTCTAGAGCTTTTACTGTGCTACTTATTCATAAAAGGAAGTAGGTAAGGTTACAATTACTACAGTATGTTTTGAACAGAATCCCATTAGAATTTAGGTAATTTAAGTGACTTGTGCCACCTTTTGTGCAAAGAGTATGTGGATTCTTCAAGGATTAATTACATAAGAGGGGGATTTTACCAAAAAAAGTATGCTGTAATTAATTCTGCTAAATGGATTCTTCTTTCTGTTGTATCAAAGTATTTTGTTTAGTAACTCGTCTATATAAAAGTCAGCAGCTCTCTCCTTATCATCATTGGAGTTGCTTTTACGGTGGTGTTGATCTGTTCGTTTCCAGATAATGTTTATAACCTTTTTTTCTGATGAGATATTGCATCTGCCTCACTGCTGGGACTTAGAGCTGAATATAGTATAACCTCATGCTTCTTGACAGTTCCTGCTCAAGGGCATTTTAAATGCGCTAGAACGCATTGCTGGTGATATTCGGTGCCTTTTTTAATTCAGTTGCATCCTATAAAAGGATGGCCATCTCCGTCTTCATTCACAAAGTCAGATAACATAGAACACATTGTTGTCCTCTACAATATAAAAAGTTATTTAGAGGATTATTAGTGTTTAACATGCTGCCCTTTAAAACTCCTTAAAATTTACTGCTGTAAATTAAATCCAATGTGCATATACAGACTATGTAAAATGAAAAAATTGTATTTTACAGATCAGTCTTTTTAAAACATCTGTATGTCCATCTGTATTGGCAGTCAGTTTGTTAGTGTCTTGTTTCACTTTGGCTTTTCCATGCCCATATTTCAATGTGTTATTGTAGTATGAAACCTCTAGGGCAAAACAGTTGTGTAATGGATTGTAAAATAATGAATCTCAGCACATATAGTACCTATATGTTTCATATCCATATTCATATACAACGTAATGTCATTTTCTTGCCAGTGTAGTTTTACCAACGTTTTGCATTTTTCTCTTTAGTCTGTTCTATGTCATACTGTGCGGAACTAGTGCTCAGTGTAAACCAATCCAGCATAACTTGTAAACTTCTCAAGGTGTGGTCATAAAAATGATTGATACCTTAAGGTAAATTATTTTTGAAATGCAGTCCAAAATGTTTCTGTATAACAAAAATGGGTTGCTGTTGAAAATGAGAAATGTGATAGGATAGCAGTTTTAAAAAAATGTCATTTTATATCAGGTTTTCTATTAGCATTCTCAAATAGCTTTTATTATGCCTATAAATGTTAAGAAAAATATCAATTCAGTGTTTTAGAGATAGTTAGGTTAAAAGGTACTTGAACTCAAAAATACTTTTGAATGTGTACGTGTTGTACAGTAAAGTACTTATATTTTGTTTCCTACATGTGAAAGTTAACATCTTCCAGTCCTTATATCATATTATATTGTTTCTTATGAGAGAAAATTCCCTGCATTGAGTTGCAGTCTGAGTGGATGTTCTTTTGGTCCCTGTCCCTCCATTTTACATTATACTTATGGGGAAAAGATGCTCCATAAAAACTGTTTCTCTATAAATAACCTTTTTGTATTGTATATCGAGTCGTACCAAAATTTTAAAGTAAAAAACCTAGAAGTAAGCAAGCAAAGAACAATTAGAACAATAGTATAATCTTAGCCAATAGTATATCTTAGAAATAAGATTGCCAGATGTGTTCCTTTTGATGCAGTTAGTTAATTTGGTCATTCTTAATGTGCAGCAAACAATTTAGATGTATATGCATTTGTATTTCGTGTTTTGACTGTGTGTGGCATTTTACATTTTATGTTGTTGTCCTCTGTTTTGAGTACTTTTCTGCTACAAATGAAATTGGCTTTCAACTGAAACTGGAGTTGGTCTGTCAGTTTTCCTCCCCTCCCCCCCTTCCATTCTCCCTTAATTTAATTGGTGAAATGTCTCCCTTCCCTACCTGATCTGCTGTGTGTTTGGGGGATTCTTTGTGATTAATTTTCCCTACTTAGATAATTCAGTTAAATTCATACATCTTTTAAAATATCACATTTCTCCAGATATTTTTTAACAGCTGGCATTAGAATTTACACATACAGCAGTGTCAGCACAGAACAATTCATCACTCAGCACATTTCCAAGCTCCACTCTAGAGGAATACAACAGTAGGTGGAGGAGAGGGATTAATGTTATCAGACTATTACTATGGTTTCATAATTGATTGAAAATAGCATTGAGGGTATGTTCATAGTAAACAAATTTTAATAATTATGAATTTTAAGATAAACATATTTTGCTTCACTGGTGGAGAAGAGTACTTTTGGTTTTGTTGTTTCATAAATACTGTCATTCCCAAAAGTTACTCAAAATTGAAATAATAGCCATGAGGTTTCATCAGATCTCCTGCTATTGTTTAAGTGGTGGTAATATCTGAGATTGAATTCCTCTTACTTGAATTTGTGTTGTAAATTTGTGATTTGAAACAATTGAATTAAGTGGTTCACTAAAGGTAAGTACAGTCAAACAATAGAGTTCTGGTCTTTTTTTTTGCTCATTTGAAAATTTTAATTCCATTTTGGTCAGCCATGCATGGGGAAAGTGGCCTTGAAGTAGGCTTACATAATATTCAGATATATCATGAATCACATCATGATGTGACAAGTGAGTTGTATAGTAGCTGGTTGTCTGCATGAAGAGGTGCTGCTTTTAATACATAAAATGTTTTGGTTAAAAAAATGCATTTTTGAAATACGGCAGATATGTTTACTAAACCATTTCTAATACTTTTTGGATTTGATTAAATTCGATCTTTGCATTCATTTTTCACTTCTTGAATTACCTGTTTTAAATGTAGCTCTCTTAATTTGATTGTTCAGCAGTTTACATCAGTGTCTTTTGGTTTGTCAGAATGTGGCCCATGTAATGCACAAATAAGTATATGACAGAAGATAAAACAGTGGAGTTTTAAAAATAAACATGTTTCTCAAAATGTCTGGTCTGTTTACGCAACTGAGTGGCGTGGCATAAGTCATATACATGTTGTACCATAAATAATTCCATATTTTCTAATAAATCGTTTGTTTTTTGGTATTTCTGGAAAATCAGAATATCTAAAGGTGAATACGTAAAATATTCCATCAAATAATGAAAAGTTGCTTCCTTATTGTTGTCTTGCAGAGGATATGGAGGGAGAGAGAAGCTCAGCGGGTGTCAGAAAGAGAAGTCCTGATGCTGGAGGTGGGAGGGGATCCTCTGCAAACAGTGACGATGACACTGAAAATGGCAGCTCAAGTGGCTCAGACAGCGACAGCAGTAAAGACAGCAGGAGTCGCTCAAGTGGAGCACCCAGTAAAATGAGAAGTAGAGTGGCACAAATCAAAGTAAGGCTCCCGCTCCCTTTTTGGTCTGTGAAGTACAGAAATAAGAGATATGATCATTTTATTGGCCAATACAATTTCTTGCATTAGGAATTCGTCTTTTCGCATACCCCTGCTTCGCTCTCCATGAGACACACAGACAGAGAAAGCAGCTTGGGGTCAGAGCATAGGGTCAGCCATTGCACAGCGCCCCTGGAGCAGTTGGGGTTGAGGGCCTTGCTCAGGGGCCCAACGGAGTAGGATTCCTCTGCCAGCCACGGTATTTATCTGCCAGCAACCTTCGAGCCACAGGCACAGATCCTTAGCCACCGTTGCACCGCTCCGACCCTATTATTATTATTCCAATTTTAATGTAAAAAAATCAGGTTAAGGGGCTGTTAACTTGCATTAGAACCATGAGGCATTCAAACAAAGTGGTAGCCACAGCCTTTTTTGTGCTTTAAACTATTTTGCGCTTCGACGTTTCATCAGTTAAACATTTATATTCTATCTTATATCCCTTCTGTTCTGTGAATTTCACAGGTGCTCCGCGAAACTCTGTATCAGCTTTATGATCGGCTGATGCAGATTGTGCATCATTTTTATGGAAGCTAAAATGCTTTTTAATATTGTTGAACCAGACTCTGCTGGATCCAAAATAAACTTTGTCCACACAGCCAAGTTGTCAAAAAAGCTGTGGTTTTTGTCTGAGAATGGTAAAACAGGTCTCAAAATGTTGACTGCACATAAGAGGATCAGCAAACCACAACATTCTGCTGTACTACTGTACTGTAATAGCCATTTTGTGAGTAGGCCTGTTTCGTGTCCTTCAAGAATTTCAGTGGAAAAAAATCTGTACTTTCAACCAGTCAGTGATAAAATGCCTCAGCAGCCTTAGAGGTTCATTTAGCCATTTTGGGGTTTGTGAACTCATCTAATCTAAGACTTTAAAAACAGTGGAATAGTTGTTATAATTGTTTGTTTAGTTCTTGTAGTACAGTGCAAGACATGTTCATAATATAATACTGTGATATATATCCCTATAATGCCTTCAGTATTTTCATTTCAGTTTAATTTCTGATATGCTGTGTGCATTCATGTTCTAAGCTGTTTTAATTAGCTATTGGAGTAGATTTGCTACATATTTTTAAATTAAGAATTCATATCTGAAAAATTCAAATTACTTAATCTGGGTAAATTTGAAAAAAAAAAGGAAAGTTGCAAGATGGGGGCAACTGTTAGGCCAAATGTAAATTCTGCTTCATGTAATAGGTGTTTCAAGCTAATGAATTCAGAGGAGAAAAACAATGACCATGTGCAGTATGAATGTTAAGTTATATAATTAAATGTATACATTAAAAATAATCCAGAAACCATTTAATAAATGTTGCAATTCTCAACATTTGAGATTAATGGTACACTAAGAATAGATTTACTTTATATACAGGTAATTGTTCTAGGGCTATTTATAGAGCTGTGGTGTTAATTGGGTATAGAATCTTTTGGGAATAGAAATAGAGTATGTATCTGAATTTTGTTACTGTGTCCTCTTTTACAACAGCAATAGCTGTTCTTCAACTTTAAAATGTGAGTGGTAATCTAAAATATATCTAGAAATACAATAAATATATAATAATTATCTATACACATCATAAGATATTGTGATATATACACATATTATCTTATCTATACATATCTAAAATATACCTTTGTTTGTGAATATAAAGTTAAGCATTGACATTTATTTTCCTTTTATTTAAGCATCGCTCAAATGAGGAAGAAAAAGACCGACACAGCAGTCCTTCTCCAAGTTACAGGTATAATGTGGCAGCTAAAATATTTTAATTGTACTCTGAGTATTTTGTTTTTAATGTCAGTCATTGTCAGCAAGGATTTGCTTAGTGCATATGACGGGATTTTAGTGATTTATATGTACAGAACATTAAACAATTTTTTTTTACCTTCCTGCTTGGGTAATAAGAAAAACAAAGTATATAGCTTTTGGCTATGATTGACTGTTTTTGGTGTTCTTTGAATCATGACTGATCATGATACACTCGAGTGCTTTGATCAGTGGTACTTTGAGGGACCTCCAAGTCTGATGGTTTTCATTCTAAATTTCAAGTGCTAATTGATGCCTTTAATTGTTCATATTCCTTGTTTTTACTTTCAATTTCCTTTTTTTCTGCACTTAGTCCTGGGTTTCAAAAATGCAGCACTTCAAAGGTAATGTGTTAACAGCGTCAGCATAGAGAACATAAAGCAGTCTTTCCACAACTTGCTTACTCTTATTTTTGTCTAAGCAGGTCTTATTACAGTTGATATTTCTGATGAACAGACTCAACTAATAAAGATAATGTATCAGACATACAGTGATATTTTCACCCTCTTCAGAAGTGAACTTTGTTTTCATACAGCACACCTTAGTTAGGACAGCTCTAAAACTCAGGATTTGTTACAGGGCTGATACCAATTACAAATACCAATCAGCTTTTTAAAAGCTGATAGTAAAAACATCAGAAATTAGTCTATGATAAAAGGCTTGCCTGGAGCAAAAGCCAGAAGATATAGTGGTCCCCCAAGACCAAGTTTGATTGTTATTTATTAAACCTGGAATAAATCAAAAGAAGAAAATGCAATGTGTTTCCAAAGAAAAATACATTTGTGGCATTGGTAGGTTGGAGGTCAAACTAAGTGCAATGTTGCTCACTTTCAGGTGTATACCTCAGACAATTTCTAACCTAACAACTCATTAGAGTCAAATGCAGTCTGTCAGTGATAGGCTGTGATTTGAGTCACACCATCTCTCCAAAATTGATGGGAATGTCCAGGGGTGGTGGTCTGGGCAGGAATGTTTAATTGCCATAAAACTGCTCTACAGTGATTAATGATCCCCTGAGTGCACAGTGCTACATTGATTAAGTCCTGGGACGTCACTTGCCTTTCTAGCAGGCTCATCCTGATTTGACAAAATTCCAGCAGAACAATGAAAATACTAATCTTGCTGGTATAACAGTGTTTTGCAGTAAGTGTAGTAGTAATGCTGTGCATGCCCTATGCCCTATGAACCCTGTAGAACATTTGTGGGGTGATCTGGGGCAAAGTGTGTCAACTAGGGTTCAGACACCGGTGAACAGACACGTGCTTGTCCAGGCTTTGAGAGAAACAGGAAGAAACCCCACAAGACGGCATTTGCAATCGGGTGCAAACCAAGCATCACAGATGTACAGCTTGTGATTATTTCTGCATTATAGCATCGATTGCACAAGATACTTTCCTGCAACTTTCACAGTAAACCCCCTATTGATCAACCTTGTTGATAACATGTTAATATATTTACAGATGTCTATTCAGTACAATACCGGTATAATGGACATTGTACTGCTTTAAGGTTGTAAAAAAAACTTAAGTGGTTTTAAGTTTTTTTTTAATTCTGAGTATATTTTACATCAGACATCAGAATGTCTAGTAATATCAGGTATTGTTACTTGTAAATGGTACACATTTTCTTATAGCCTTGGGTAGTATCCATTGGGGAGATCTTGTACAAACTGCTGAGTCAGACACTTCATGTGAATTATGAGTAAATTAAGTAAATTAATTTTGTCAAAATGAAGTGCCATTCACTTTCTATCCCATTATGTGTGCATATCAGCCCCAACTAAAGACATAAAACACTGTGAAAATGCATGCAGGGGAATTTATGTTGCAAACAAACTTTATTAGTGTATATGAGTATAAGTTTTAAGACTCTCTTGGGACGTTTTTTAAAACAATGATTTTTGTGATGAAAGATATTTGTAAAAATCAATAATTTTGTTGGTAATATTCTTGAGCACTTTATTTTGTATTTAAAGCAATAGTTGTCTTTTTCAGGGATGGAGAAGGCAGAAGGTCGCGTTCACCTCCAGTGCGGGATCGAAGTTCCTCAGAAGATCGCGATCGGCGATATGAGCGGGGGCGTCCTGCCGTGGGAAGATACAGTGACAGGTGACTTGCGCTTTACACAACTGTCTGTTGTAATGTAGTGAGCATGCTAAAAGTATAATTTCAAAAATGTAGGAGCGGGATATAATGGCTGGTTATTTCATAGTATATGTTTTGGCTCATTTAGTTCATCTTGAGAGCTTATTTCTTGCAATGATAAATCAAAATGCTTTTTTATTCTATGTCCACTTGCTGTAATAATGACTTTTATGTGAGTTTAACAATATTGATGAACATCCATAGAAGTTCATGTTAAAGTCAAAAACATAAATGTTTTTGATGACCTTTGCATCAGTATACATTTAAGGCTATATAAACTTAGCCTTTAAACTAAATTATTTTCTAATCATAGTTGCTTATTTTTCTGATTAGTATTTGAGTGGGTAGAAGGACACATGGTAAAGTTTTTAGATTATTTTTTATGTACTGTATTAGTCTCTTCATTATCAGCTTAAAGCAAAATTTGCAACAAAATTAAAAAAATAAGCACAACGTGCAAACCCATCGTACATCTTCATATAGTTGGAAAACCAGTTTTTAATTCTTGTTTTGGATATTTTTTTTTATCGGGGAAAGAGAGCGGCACTCCAGCAGAGAAAGAGACCGAGAGAGAGAGCGACATTCTGACAGGGAGAGGGACCGAGACAACGTGAGAGAGTGGTATTCGGGTAGGGAGAGGGACAGAGACTACTATTCAAGCAGGGACAGGGGCCGTGAGCGCCGGTCCAGCAGAGAAAGGGATCGTATGCGTCACTCCAGCTGGGAAAGGGAGGTGGATTCCAGGAGGAGAGGCAGATCTCCATCCCCTCTCCAGAGAGAACCTCCCCCTGCTGAAGAGCCTCCAGTGAAGAAGAAGAAAGAAGAGCTGGACCCCATCCTGACTCGCACAGGTGGAGCCTATATCCCCCCTGCCAAACTGCGCATGATGCAGGAACAGATTACAGACAAGAGCAGGTAAGCCATAAATCCTTCCCATTGCATTTCAATAATGTTTTGGAGAAAATAAAAATCCTTTTTTACGTTTTTTTTTAGTAAGTGGAATAAACTAAGTGTTTTAGATTCAAAACAATAAATCTCAATAGTGATATGAAGTCAGTCAGTTTTGACAAGTTTAATATTTCCAGATATTCCATTAAAGGCAAAATGGGTTCTGGTTATTATATTTGGCAGTGAAAGGTGATTCAAACTGATGTGGATGGCAGACATTGGTAGGATGTTTCAGAGTCTCTGATTCCAGGGAGGATTTTTGACTTGCTTGACTTTTTTTTTCTGAGAATGAAATATGGTTTGCCTCAAATTTGATGTATAGCTTGTGGCTAAATACTCTTGAGAAATTCAATAGAATATAATGTGATTGATTTTTTTTTCCTTGTGGTTTTCTTGAAGCAAGGGTTGGGATAGTTCTTCTAAAATTAGATGCACCCAGTTTGCTCCCTGCTAGTGGTTAAATGTTTTGGATACCTGTTGTTAAAGATTTGTGGTATCACTTTTTATATCTTTTGGAACAACATTCTGTATTCTCTATTGGCAGTCATACTATCACTGAGCTTTCTGTGTAGCTCCTGTTAGAAGAGCAGAAGGACCCTTTAAGAAGATGGTGAATTTTCAGTCTTATAAAGGCCATGTAAAAACTTCAAGACAAAATACAGGCTCAGCATTATTTTAGAATTTCAGACTTGGTGAAAAGCTTTCTGGCTAAATTGTGGTTGCTTGGTCTTTTAGTCCTTTATACCATAAGGTCTATAAATCATAAAAAAAGGTACAGCTTTCTGTGGCACCTATTAAAAAATAACAGTGCAAGATTATTCTTACATGTTATTGTATTCTGTAAAGTAATACTTTTAATTTTCAAGAAATGTACGATATATCTTTACGAAGGTTTTAAAGGTACAGTAATGTGAAAAAGAAAGTACACCCTCTTTCAATTCAATGGTTTTACGTATCAGGGCATAAATAACAATCATCTGGTCCTCACCAACTTCTATAATTAGAGAAATCTAGCCTCAGATAACAGACAACACATAACAGATTTCACTGTCATTATTTATTCAACAAAAAGAAAGCCAAAATGCAGAACCTATGTGGGAACAATCAATCTGGGAAGGGTTATAAGGCCATTTACAAACAATTTGAAATCCATCATTCTACAGTGAGAAGGATTATTTACAAATGGAGAACATTCAAGACAGTTGCCAATCTTCCCAGGAGTGGGTGTCCCAGCAAATTCACCCCAAGGCCAGACCGTATGATGCTCAGAGAAATCGCAAAGAACCCAAGAGCTTCATCTAGGGATCTGCAGGCCTCGGTTAGCATGTTAAATGTTAAAGTTCATGACAGTGTGATCAGAAAAAGACTTAAGTATGGCTTTCATAGAAGGGTAGCCAGGTGAAAGCCCCTTCTCTCCAGAAAGAATATGGCAGCATGGCTTAGGTTTGCAGAGTTACATCTGAACAAACCTCAAGATTTTGGGAAAAATGCCTTTTGGACAGACGAGACCAAAGTGGAGATGTTTGGTCACAACGCCATGTTTGGTGAAAACCAAATACAGCATATCACCACAAACACCTCATACCAGTCGTCAAGCGCGGTGGTGGAGGGGTGATGATTTGGGCTTGTTTTGCAGCCACAGGACCTGGGCACCTTGCAGTCATCGAGTCGACCATGAACTCCTCTTTATACCAAACTATTCTAGAGACAAATGTGAGGCCATCTGTCCGACAGCTAAACCTTGGCCGAAATTGAGTCATGTAACAGGACATTGATCCCAAGCACACCAGCAAATCTACAACTGAATGGCTGAAAAAGAAAAAGGTGTTCAAATGGCCAAGTCAAAGTCCAGACCTCAACCCCATTGAGATGCTGTGGCGAGAGCTTAAGAGAGTTGTACATAAACGAATGCCCTCAAACAATGAACTGAAGCAATGTTGTAAAGAAGAGTGGGCCAAAATCCCTCCAAAACTATGTGAGAGACTGATAAGCTCATACAGAAAACGATAAAAGTGGTTCTACAAGCTACTGAATTATGGGGTGTACTTAGTTTTTCACACATGGCTTCTGCATGTTGGCTTATTTTTTGCTGATTAAATAATGACATAGTGGAATCTGTTATGTGTTTTTTGTCACCTGAGGTTAGATTTAATTTTAGGACCTGGTAAGGACCAGATGATGTTTTTGTTGTCTTCATATATAAAACCATAGGATTGAAAGAGGGTTTACTTTCTGTACATACTGTACATAGTATTTGTGCCTCATGACATAATAAAGCAATACACCTTCTTAAAACAAGTACAATCAACAAACAATATAATCCTGTACGTTTGAAGGATTTTTGTAAAGGTGCATATTACATTGTGGTCTATATTTCTAGTTCAGTGTGTTTACTTTTTATTGCAGTCTGGCTTATCAGAGAATGAGCTGGGAAGCCTTGAAGAAATCCATCAATGGTCTCATCAACAAAGTGAACGTCTCCAACATTGCCAATATTATCAACGAACTTCTACAAGAAAACATTGTGAGAGGAAGGTAGGTATTTTTTCTCTCCATAAATGCAAGTGTGTATTTCTGTAATACTTCTGCTTTCCAATAACTTCTTGCGATCTAGAAGATGACAGTGTGGTCGTTTTGTTTCAGGGGTCTTTTGGCCAGGTCAACGTTACAAGCACAGAGTGCCTCCCCTATTTTCACTCATGTATATGCTGCAGTTGTGGCAATTATTAATTCAAAGTTTCCTCAAATTGGAGAGCTCATTCTTAAGAGATTAATTCTTAACTTCCGGAAGGGGTACCGAAGAAACGATAAGGTAAATGAATAAAGTTTTTTTAAAATGCTTTATTTCTGTGCTGTAATTGAATGCATTTTACTTTGAAAGCATTAACGTATCTTATTTCTTTCCAGCAACAATGTCTGACAGCATCAAAGTTTGTTGCCCACCTGATCAATCAGAATATTGTAAGTATACTTAATTATATTCTTATTTGTTTTTAATGATACTGGCATGGTGCTTTACAAATTTTAGGCTAATCCTAATTAAACCAATTTTTGGAGTAACTTTAGCCAATATCTATTTTTGCAACTAAACTTAATAACACAATTTTGCCGAAGTTTTTATCATTTAGTCACTAATTTAAATGTTTTATTGCACCATAAGTGTTTGGTTTTCATTAATATTTGGTTAAGATGTTTTTGTAATTGAACATTGTGTGAAGGATAATATTATGAAGAATAAAGCTGTTTAATTTGATTGTGCTGGCTTCTAGAAGGTTAGGAGAAAGCTTATATTAATATTCTCAAGTCTGTTTACTGTTTGTAAGACAAGTTACATGTATTTACAATTAACAGCATTGTCAGTGAAACAGATGTACAGTATATGAATAAACAAGCAGGAACATGACTCAAAATAATGTACAAACTGGTGAAAGAATGGGTAATAAATCATTGTAAGGTACTAAATATACAATGCCTCTCTTACCTTAACCTTGATGGTGGCTGCTACCACTAAATGTCTTACTGTTTAAGACCAAAAGATAAACAGAACACCTTTGGAGGTCTCTGCATCATTCAGGGGGTGCGTGTTTCACTTCCATAGAGAAGAATTATATTGTATTTTTGTTTTTGTCTGATTTTACTTAAAGGAAGAATACAGTAGGGGCTTTTTTACCCAAAGGGATGTGGGAGTACAGAACAAAGTACCATTCCATTGTCATTGAAGCCAATGCCCTGGTTTCTTTTTTAAAAATAGTCAGATGAGTTCCTTGGATCGGTTAGCGACTGACTACTAAATGGGCAGATTTGGCAGGGGGCAAATGGCCTTCAATTATTGGAAATCAATTATTACAAATAAAAGTTTTATTTGTAATAAAACTTTGCTCTGTGCAACTATAATCTAAAATAGTATGCTGTATTATTTTTTTTAAAGGACTTAATCCAATTTACTCATGTTAAATGATGTTTCTGTTCCTAATTAATTAGGGGAATGAATATATCTGGAGAACAGAGAATGCTAAACTTAAAAAAAGATTAATACTTTTATGCAGCCTGGAATTAGCATATTTAGTAACTTTTAAGATTTTATGAAAATATGTATTACTTTTTACAGGCTCATGAGGTTTTGTGTTTGGAAATGCTCACTCTGCTATTGGAAAGGCCCACTGATGACAGTGTGGAAGTGGCCATCAGCTTTCTGAAGGAATGTGGTCTCAAATTGACTGAGGTCTCACCACGTGGCATTAATGGTAAGTACATTGTGTACAGTAGAGCTTAACATAGCCACAATCCATCCATGTATTTTGACAGATCAGATGCAGTCTGTTTTCGGTTTTCTAAAAAACTGTTATAATTTTTGTTGTGGATGATTTTAACATCAGTGTACCCCACTGAGCTATATTTTATCATGTCCCTTTTATAGTATGGTTCCGTATTGATGAATGGGATTTTTTTATGTGGTTATCATGTTCGTTATAAGTAGTAATAATAGTAATAGTTATAATAAGGTTTACTGTTAGATTTTGTTTGTCATGTCTTATTGTCCTATTATTGATGCTCTGTTTTTTTACAGCTATATTTGAACGGTTGCGAAACATCCTGCATGAGTCAGAAATTGACAAACGTGTCCAGTACATGATTGAGGTTATGTTTGCAATTCGTAAAGATGGCTTTAAGGATCATCCAATCATTCCTGAAGGTCTTGATCTAGTAGAGGAGGAGGATCAGTTTACTCATATGCTTCCATTGGAAGATGATTACAATCCAGAGGATATTCTCAGTAAGTTTTGTAAAAGAGTGTGATCCAGTAATGTTTTTGCATGTTTTTCTCGCATATTTAGAAATTGTGTTTTTCTGGGAACTCTAAATATATGCATGATCTGCAAAATATTTTCCTTTGGGCCGGTTTTATCTGATATGGCATATCAGCAGCCATATCACTCTGCAACCCACAACTGGCAACACATTGAAGATAAGCAGGTGTGAGTCTGGTCTCCACCTGGATGGGAGACCTCCTGGGAATACTAAGGTTGCTGCTGGAAGTGGTGTTAGTGGGGCCAGCAGGGGGCACTCACCCTGCGGTCCATGTGGGTCCTAATGCCCTAGTATAGTGGCGGGGACACTATACTGTAAACAGGCACTGTCCTGCGGGTGAGACATAAAACCGAGGTCCTGACTCTCTGTGGTCATTTCTTGAAAAGAGTAGGGGTGTAACCCCAGCGTCCTGGCCAAATTTCCCATTGGCCCTTACCAATCATGGCCTCCTAATTATCCCCATCTATGAATTGGCTTCATTACTCTGCTCTCCTCCCCACTGATAGCTGATGTGTGGTGAGCGTTCTGGCGCACTATGACTGCTGTCGCATCATCCAGGTGGATGCTGCACATTGGTGGTGATGCAGGGCAGTCCCCATTACCTGTAAAGCGCTTTGAGTGGAGTGTCCAGAAAAACACAATATAAGTGTAAACAATTATTATTAATTATTATAATTGTTATCCAAACAGGAGTAATAAAAAAGGCAAGCACATATTTCTGATAATAGTAAAAACAGCCTCTAAAATATTTCTAGTATCAAACTTTTCCAGACCTATTTAAATTTGCAGCACTGTGGAGTAGTAGGTTGAGTTGTGAACAGGAAGGTTGTAGGTTCAAATCCCAGGTGAAGCAAAACTATTGTACACTTCAACAAGGTACTTGTGAAATTGTTTCTTTCATATGCCCAGTTGTATTAATCGTAAGGAGCTAGTAATGTATTTTATTATTATACTCGCAAGTGTCAAATAATATTGCTGATAATATGGGATATCTTTCATATTTTCATTTCTTTAATGTTACTGATTTTAGCATGCATTTAATACAGGAACCTTTACATTGGATTCTCATGAATCTTGTTTAATTTTCTACGTTGACATTTCTACACATTCTTCTGTGCTTATAGATGTTTTCATTGTAATAGCAAAGTAAGTTTTATATCTTAAGCAGTTTCTAATTAATGCAACAGTAATTTAGGAGTAATCCCTATTGTACGTTGACACAGAAATGTATACAAAACATGAAATATTTTTGTTCATTTTAAAAGAATAAGTGAGTTCCAATAGCACTAAGTCCTGGAGATGTGGGGTAACTTAAATCCCCTTGATAGTTTTTGTCTGCTTTTGCAAAATCACATAAATTGAATTAGTAGAGAGCCCCGTTACATATCCGTAAGCAGTTCTCTCTTTCGGGCAAAGACTAATTATGTATAAAGGATGACAAGTATGAGCCTCTACTTTCTCAAATCTAATTAAGCGTGAGCAGAATTTTAACACATGTAATGTTGTGTGTAAAAATCCTTCCTGAATATAACTCTGCTGTTGGTACTCCATATTTGGAGAAGCTGCTTCTGTGGTTCCAAAGACAAAGTGCTATAATTGAAAATCTTTGCAAAAAACACTTAAGGGTATGCTTGAAGCTGTTATCATATTAAGTGTGTTATGAATAATACTATTCTAATAGATTGCAAATGCATTTTATGGGTAATTGCCTTTGATTACATCTCATTTATAATTACTTAATTGCTGTAAAATGTCTAATTGCAAACTAATGCTCTTGCTATTAAAAAACAATGTTTAATGTTTGCAGATGTATTCAAGATGGACCCTAGCTTTCTGGAAAATGAAGAGAAGTACAGAACAATTAAAAAGGGTAAAGTTCTGAATTGCTATAGCAATAATATATATTATTAATGTAATGTAAAGCTTTTATTTCAAAAGTGTTTAGGTGTTTGCATTGTGAATATTTCTATGAAAAGAAATATGAAAGATGGTAAATATATTTTCTCAGGTTTTAAATTAACAAAATTAATCCAGCCACTCCTGCTGTAGAAGGCTAGTTATTGTCTTGTTGGAGAATATTTTGTGCCAATGTCTTATTATATTCAGTTATTTTTAGACTAATCATTTATACCACGAAGAACTTTAAAGATCAGTCTTAAAATCAGCATATCAGTTAAGTTTTGTAGAATCAGAAGACAAAAGTCAAGTTTTTGGTGAGCTTGGTTACAAAGTCAATTCAAGTCACATTGATTTCTGTGCCTTAGAGATTCTTGATGAGGGCAGCAGTGATTCAGGTTCTGGAGATGATGCAGATGGCAGTGATGAAGATGAAGAAGATGACGACAATGAAGAAGAAGGTACAGGTGCTGCGGTTCATGAGATATATCAGAATTTTGATGTATTGTATGCTAACTGCATTATCATTGTTAATCAATAGCAGGTGTCCAAGTTAATCCAGTTAATAAAGATATCACATTGGTTATCTTTATAATGCTATAATGGGGGGAGGAGCTTTCAACAAAAGGTACCGATATTAATTAAAGGTATTCACTACCTGAAAATTATAGATGATGAAATCGAATATTTCATTCAATTGTATTTTCTCCTGCTTTTGTAAAAAAAAGTTTTATTTAAATTGCTCGTTATCTTAAATCTAGGATTGTCGCATAGTCACCTGTTGTCCTTCATATTTCACCAATACTGGCTTACCATTAAAGCAATTTAATATATTTATTGTGGATGAAAGCACTTAGGTTTTTATCATTAAAAGCGTCATGGTGTGCATGAAATATAAGTCTATTCTGTTTTTAACTATAAATCATTTAGGATCTCTTAATTTATTCTGTGTACCATATACCTGTTCATCTCTGTGTACCAGTTAAAAACTGTTTATTCCAGTAGTCCTTGTTTAGAGCAATCAACTGATGAGAACATGTGGTGAAAAACTATTGACACGCATTAGATATTTGATAATGGAGTTACTTTTTCAATGGTGTTATCCACTTGACTAAATCTAAGCATTTTCAAATTACATCATCAAGTTGTTTTGAGTGAACAGTATCCAGTAAAAGCTTGCTTGGGTATTTTTAAGTTATTTTATGTTTGGATAGTAAAAGCAGTAGTTTCACAGTAGAAAGTGAGGTTTGGTTTGAGACCCTAGTCGTGCTAGCCTGTATGTCTGGTTTTTAGAAAGTTGTAAACCTTTTCACTGTACTGTGAAAAAGTTATATGTATTTTCAGTTTAACACTGATTGCATTGCTAAACCACTTTTTGCTATGTTGTTACTTGACCATTTTTATCCGTATTTCATTACATGATAACTTGTTCTTTTTTTACCACTTTTGCTAAGTCGGCAATGTTTCGAATTATGTTGCATCAGCAATTTTAAATGTTCTTTGTGAAACCTTAACAGGTAATGTTGTGTAAAGTATAGCATCTGTTCTTTCTCAAACATGTGTAAGTCATTCTGTCATTTTAAAGCCTTTTCTTACATTACTGTTGGATGCTTCTATTTAGGCAATTTTAAGATTTTATATAAAAAAGATCAGATAATATATCAAGTGGTATTGGTGCTTCACATATTGAGATTATCCATATGAAATCTGGTAATAGAAGGTAAAAACGCAAAGGAAATTCAGGGCACAGTACTCATATCAAGGCTGAGTTATGACCATGTTCAGACTATTTTAATATTTTTAAAACTAAATAATTAACTGGTTGAAATTATCACTGTCAACGCATTTTAAATGGAAAAATGTTTATTGGCAAAAATGTACATGGAGATATATATTTAATTTTAATATTTATAATTATAATTTAAAATCTGGACCATGAAATTATCCTTTAATCAAGTTAGATGATAGGTCTGTTTGCTTCTTTTATTCTGTTAAAACATCGTCGAATAGTTTCATATTATTACTGTCAAACACTGATATTATTAGCTTAATCCTAATTCAACTTTGACACCCTTAATAAAATAACACTTGTCCATGCAAGAGTGATTTTATGCTGACTAAGTACTATTCATCTTTTGAGTTTGGTGGAGAAGTGCTTTTGAATTTAGTAATTTGTATTCAACCTTACTTTATCTAATTTTAATTCTTGCTTGATCTATTTACCCATCTTTATATTTTATTATTACTAATGCAGATATTAATATCAGTTTTCTTGGATTGTATACAGTCTGCTTATTCTTCTTGTCATATCCTCTTGTTACTGTTACTATTTGTTATTTGTAAAACACAATGTTCTGTGCACAAAGGTTTATTTATAGGACTATAAAATACTTTGAACCTTTTATTCTTATTGAAGTGAATCTTATATTGTCTTCATATGTGATGATCGATCTGTTAGGTGAGTTACAAGCTTATCACAATTGCGGAGTAGAAAACATTTAAAATAATTCAGAAAACCCTTGTATTTATACACCTTAATAGCATAAATGTACCCGTCATATCATTAATATGTAATCTGTGAAGCAAAATGTATTTAACTGTCATGTAAAACAGAGCATTTCCTTATTTTAGAACAAGAGAAAATCACCATTCACGATAAGACAGAGGTGAATCTGGTTGCATTCCGCCGTACCATCTATCTTGCTATCCAGTCAAGGTAAGTTGACCTTTATGCATTTCCTGATTTCATGAAATTTATAGCTTCTACATAGCTGTGGTGATAAATACATAAAAGTCAGGTTGAAAGTAAACTTTTATTATCCAGCTGCATTTGAGATCCATGTTGTAGTGTATTCTCCTTATCAGGTGCAATTTAGTAATTTGAGATCAACTTGAATTATAAATTAAAATACTTTATAAATACTAATTAATACTGTACTCTCTCAGAAATATTAATAATGAATAATTGTAAAAAGTTCTATAGATTTTTTTTTGCTTTCTTTTTAGTGTGAAGTAGTAGTTTCATTGTATGCTGTACTGTCATTTTGTCCAAACAAAAAAAATAGACTTTCTCAGGCTTTTATGCACAGAAACTGAAATAATCATTAAACTGAAAGCTCTTGGGTCAGGAACATGAGTGCTGTGATTTGTATTCCAAGCCAATCAACACAGTAATTTGGGTTAGATATTCATTGGAGGAAGTCACTAAGTTCAATGATTTTTATTCTTGGGGCATGTGTGTCAACGTTGCTAGTCTGGTTTCGGCTCTAGGTGGGTAACCACTAACCAATAAATACAGGGTGCATTTAAAGTAAGTTGGCCTGTTCAAACAATTGCATTGCTAAAACTGCATACTGTGGAATGTGGACCACATCAACCGTGGGTAACAGTCCCATAGACTGTGAACACTAAACACGTTCATGCAGTATTGAATGGTGTCAGTTCTTTCTAAGCATGCATGCCATCATGGAGACATATGGTGTCTCCATGACCTAATGTAGCAACTTCTGTGTGTAGTGTCTTTATTTATGTGAATGTGTTCCCCATGGTCAATTTTTCTGCTTCAAATGTCATTGTTTCTTGGAGTTCAGTTTTCACAATACAGTTGTTTAAATAGGTCAGATAACTTTATAAATAACTTGTACCTTAAAAAGCCTGAAGGAAACAGCTATTTGAATTTATTTCACAGATCTCAGGTGCGCCGTGTTTTGTAAAGAAAAAGTATCCTTTACAAACAGGAAAAACAAAAATAAGCAGAAGAAAACAGCAATTGCTTGAACTACCTGCTAATAACAGGTTCCTTTGATAAACTGCTGTTTATTCAGCTGCTTCTGTTCACCTGGAAACAATTTAAATAATTACGTACAGTTCAAAATTGTATGGGAATCTTAAGTCTCATTATTATTTAAAACATGATTTCAGGCTCTTATGTACCCGTAATAGACAAGTATGTGTGCACTTCCATTTTCAGCCTGAGTGAAACTCTCAAACTAGTACAAAAACAAATTCACGCAGAGCGTGTTGTCATTTCCCACACTAAATGAGCCTTCCTTCACAGAAAAAGACACAAATGCATGTCCAGGGAAAGAACAGATGCTGTGCCAGAATCGTACTGTTGAATACTAATACATGAACCTATTAACATGCTTCTTCTATAGCTATTTCTATATTCAATCCGGGATGAAAGTAGTACTGTGACCCTGGGACAAATCTCAATCCACATTTTTGTTGAGCATGGCAGATCTTAGGGGTGAGTCAACTGCAGAATGGAGGGACATGCCTGAAAGGATCTCTAGAAAGCTATTCAGCTCAGACAAAAAAATATTTTCACTGTAAATCGTCATTAAGAGGCAAATATCTAGAAGAAAAGTAAAAGCAGTTGTTCTATTCTAGTGGTTGATTTACTAAGGTTTACACCAGGCGTACAGTTTGCTTTTTAAACAAATTGCATGATGAACTGGTATGCCGACCAGGGATAAGCTATATAGAAAGGTCTGTATTTAGATAAGTGTCATTACAGGAAAGTAAATATTACAAAAAATGTGAAGGATCTTTATCTGGCTTCCTCCACTGGGCTTCAGACTGATTAAAAAAAAAAACAGTGCAGTGCAGTTAAGAATAAAACAGTGATGGCTCAGATTAGAGCTAAGCATTTGTCTTTAGCCTGAACAAATGGATAAGCTACCTTAATAGAGTTGCATTAAATGGCAAAAAAAGCCTTTGAATTTTTATGCAGTAGGATTTTGTTTCATTTTGTAAGAATACCTGAAATTTCTTTTTAGTAGCAGCCTATACAGGGCATTTAGAGATTTAGATTGAAAGTTAATCATTACAGGTCACCCTTTTTTATAATCTTTTGTCTAAAATACTGAGAACCTTTTTGTGCTAAGATGTAGAAAAATAGATTGGTGTGTGAAAAGCTGTTTAAAAACGCCACATTCAGGTCCTAGCAAATAGATTGCTTCTGGCCATTTGACCAGTGAGATGTTAATATTTGAAAAATCCTTTCAGTTGCTTGACTTCCATAGATAAAAGTATAATAAATTCATGCTCTCTTTTGGTTTTTATCTTTCTTAACCATTTATTCACTAAAGCAGTGAATTTTTTTGCCCTAAATGTGTTTTATTTGCTGAAAATCATTTTTGATCACTTTAAATTACATTGTCAGACTGACATGTAAAAATATTAATCATTCAGTACAAACTATACAAAATGAGGGATGTGCAATTTTAGAAGTTTTCTGTTAAATGTGAGGCACAACTATCATGCAATAATTAAACCCAAAATGTAAAGAACCTAATATGCAAATGAAAACATGCAAGCAGTTTTGAAAACCTCAAGTTGTTTTTTTAAACTGCGGGAGAAATCTAGTAGTGATTCGTTACCATGTGTGACATTGTACAGTCTTGCTCTCTTTAATGAATTCTTTGTATGAAATCCTTGAGAGATTTAATAAAATACTTTTGGAAAAATCCATTAAGCATGAGATGTGTTCAACAGAGATGCGTTATACAACTACTGGGATTATTTTAGTGTTGATACTCTGTTTCTTAGTACTGTCTCCTTGAGCAGTTGGAGGAGCAGCTGGTGCATAAACATTAGAATCAGCAGGGGTAAAGAAATGAACAAAAAAATCTTGACAGGTGACCTGCCAGGCTATTTATTAATGAAGCTCAGCTACATGTAGCTTTCCATGAAGATGTACATTCACTTCCTACCCTATTACTTGTATACAGAGATTGCTCAGTAATAGTATGTACCTTGTACAGAGAGCGTCAAAAGAGGCTTATCACTATTTATACCTGTATGTTTTTTTTAGAAAAATGAATATGGATTTTAGATATTGATTAAATGCTTTTAGAATAATTTTAATTGATCGAGACGTGATAAACAAGCAATTTGTATTACTGTATAATAATACAATAATAACCCATGTTATCATCAGGTGTTGATTGGATGTTATGATATAAACTGTTGAATGTTATGTCTTATTAAAATCAAGTATAAAAGACAAGGTAACAATTGTGTCATGCTTATCATTTGTGCATTCAGTATGTTGGAGAAGCACCTCAGGTGGATCCTCCAGCTATGGAGCCAAGTCCTGTTTAGCAATAAATCAATATTTTTTCTAAACCATCCAGGATGGTTAGCATCGAGTGAGATATAGATATGCAGAATGGTACAAAAGACCATTTCATGGGAAGATCCAAGTTTGTTGGGCTGGGCAGGAGTGTCCAGTCTCTACAGAACTATACTTGTGATTGGCAGCGTGAGTGCACAGTGCTTAGTTGATCAAGTCTTTGGACCTGACTTGCTACCCTTTATTATTGTTTGCATATGTTTAACAAGCTGTCTTATTGAGGTGAAAAGAAACAAAATGATGAGAAAGGCACATGTTAGAAGTGCAATACCAGTAGAGCATAGAGCAAGAGTAAAAGCAGTGTACATCAATAGCTGGGACTGGAAGTTCAAAGAAATGTGAAAGATCAGATGTGGGCTGAACAGATGAGTCTTGATATGATGAAATTTGATTGAAGACTGTGTAGTTCTGGTTCCAGCTGGTAGTTCATTCAGCCAATCTGGAGCCAGGGATGAGAATGAACCAGCCTGGAAGAACAGAGAAATTGAAAGAGGAAATGGGATAGATGAAGGGGTGAAACAGAGGGAGAGTGGTTAGAATAATAGTAGACAAGAACAAGTGTTTTGAAATATATGTGTGAAACTATAAGGGCCAGAATAATGACATGGAATGAGGTAATAAAAGACCAAGAGAGAGGCAGATGGCCAGCCAGGAGTGAGTTCACTGGGAGGGAGTAGTTTAATTGGGTGATCACCAGGGCCCAAACCAAATCAGTGTAGACAAGTGAGTGAGGAAGGGGTGAATCCTGTGGAAATTGTTCAGGAGGACGAGCCAGGAATGGCCTAGAGTAATAATGTGACGAGAGTAGAATAAAGGGGGATAAAAATGACAATGATGTTCCTGGTGGAAGAGGCAGGGGAAAGATAGGTGGATTCAAAGATATAGAGGTGGAGAAGTTGGCAGAAGAGGAAGAAAATGAGATCAAACTTGAATAGCTTCGGTTTAAGGGAATAGGAGTGCATCCAGGAGAAGATGGGTGAAAGCCAGACATTAGTATAAGAGATTCGTTTATCAGAAGAAAATACAGTACAGCATCTGCGTAGAAGTGCTATGAAAAATCACACAAAGGCATCAGAAGTCCTAGAAAGCAAGTGTAAAGAAGCCAGCATGGGATCCAGAATAGAGCCTACTGTGACATTACTAGAGGAGTGAGTGAGGTGCAAGCGTTAAGCCTTGCTGGGAGACCTTGTGTCAAAGACTTCCAGGTCAGCAAGTATTTACAGAAGGAAAGTGCGTTCTGCAAGTTCTACAGAAAGTTCAAGAAGGATTAAGAGAGAGATGAGAGGAAAACGGCATGAGCTGTTCGAGGGGTATTGGTGACAGAATAGCGTTTTCTGAAGAGTACATTTGCCTGTTTGATGGTTTCAGCGAGAAAAGGGTGAAAGAGATGGGTGCACAGTAAAGAGAAGATGGATCAAGGGTAGACTTTAAGAAGGGTGTGATGCAGGTTTTTTTAAAGGAATCAAGAAAACAGACTGAGGGAAGAGAAGTGTTGAGGACGATGGAGATATAGGACAGCTGATTTGGATAAAATAGGTTGGGAGAATTACCAGACGGTAATTATATAGCCCATGAGAAAGGTGCTGGTGTCAGTGTCAGGGACAGTTTATGACTGAGAATATGGGGCTTGAATAGGTTGAGGGTGGAGGTCAAATGGTGAAGAGCTTGCAAATGTCCAAAACTTTAAAGAGAAGTAAAGTCATTAGCAGAAGAAGAGAGAGGGGATTAGATGGGAAGATGAAGAGCAGTCCTTATGGATTGTTAGTAGAATACTGGGTTGTTTTATAATGGGAGTGGTTTGCATAAGAAAAAGCTGAAGAAATAGTATGAGAGCAAGTCTAAGGAAGAGAGCAGTTTCAATCTGTTTCGTCTCAGCTGAACACAGCTTGGATCTGGCTAAGCAGAGTGTTCCAGAGATGGAGAGGAGGAGGAAGGCAAGATGACATTGTGATATCTATACTATGGATGGTATACTTTAGTGACAAAAGTTAATCACTACATACAATGTACCTGTGTTACCTCAATATAATGCTAATACGCTTGTTACCAAAGTCATTTCCTGACATCTTTGTGAATTGGTTGCAGTTATAAATATTTCTTTGATGCACAGGTTAACACTAATCATAAGATGAATTATTAGATGTGTGGTGCAGACAAGTTCTCCGTATATATTTATGGCTACAACTGTCAGCTGACAAAACATTTATTGGATTTTTTCAAATAATTTTCAATAAATTTAGAGTGCCGTGCTGAATGCAGAAGGCTTAGTTTCCTTACAAACTATAGAATATAAAGATAAATGGTGATGTGTGCACTCTTGGATATAACATTTTTCAATTTGCTGTTTACTGGACTCAGCTTGTAATTGTCAGTGGATGATGGCTAATTGGACCTATCAAAATGCTCCACAGGCAGTACAGTTTGATATAATCTAATCATCTTTTCTTAACCTTGGGGATTTTCAAACTAGAATTTGTTATTGTGCAGACCTATTAAAATATCAGAACTGCTTACTGAGAGAGTGCAGCACATTTAGTGCCAAGCTAGCACCACATTCCTTTCTTATGGCTTCAGTTTTACAACTGTGATAAATAGATTACTGGACAATCAGCTCAAAAACCCAAAGAAGTTGTTAAACTGTGTTTCATCCCACTGGGGAATGTGTGTATGTGTAACATAACAGGAGGCCAAGCAAATAGTCAGCAGTTATTTTAACAAATACTAGCCAAAATGTATTATAAGGAAGTTTTTACTTTAGCTGTTGCCATCATTTTAAGGCATCCAATAACTGAAAATAAGAATCAATCATTGTTGATCTCATTTGTAACTTGAAAAATGTGTGCACATTAAATGTAAAAATTGTAACAATAATTTAACTATTACATTCACTAGTAATTTTAATTTTAATGTGAGATTTTGGCAGTGTTGGGAATGTTCAAGCTTTTGACATATACCAGTAATTAAGAAGCACCAGCTAATATTGTTAATAAATAACTATAAGCTTTTTTTTAGTGGGAAACTTATCTCAAGGCACTGTTAAAAAAAATCTAAAAGCCAATGCAGTTTTACAGTTGTGCTAGAAGACAAGGGCTTTGAAAATTGTGATTAAGATCCAAAGAGGAGAGAGACAACTGAAAGATCTATCTTATGCTGTGTCAAACCCAAGAACATAGAAACTCTCCAAGAAAAGATGGACCTGTGGTGTATTAAATGAGATGTGATAAATGAGATACTTTACTATAGGAATTATTTTTATTTGTTCTTTAGTCCAGTCATTTTGTTGACTAACTTTAAGAAATGTTTTAAATGGATTACATAAAACCCTTATGTTCTGCTTCAGATATCAGAATTGTATATTGTATGGTAAATAAAAATGGAAAATGTTATTACTGTTAATGGTAAGAGGTGAATTGTGTTGTTTTGTAAGAAAGAGATGCAGTATGTTTCCAAAAATGTCAGTATGAGATGCAAAATTACTGTGTACTTCTCAGTCATTTTTTAACGCTAATTAACTTCCATTAGTAGAAATACTTTGAGACAAGGAGCAAGGAAAGAGGTGTTTTTTCAAAGCTTATAGAAGCTAGGCATTAATTTGATGAAGAAAATACATAGATCTGATAGAGGCATTTGGATATATGTGATATGCTAAATTGTTTTTAAGCTTCATATTGAGAAATTTTCACACATGGGTTTTAGTATATTAATATTTATTACTTTTTTATTAATGGAAGCTATTTAGTCCGTTTCTTTAAAAAAGTTTTTTAAAGGCATTATTCCAGAAGAAATCCCTTTTTATTGCAGGGGATGGAATGTGTATCCTGAAATATGTAATTTTTCATTGTTACTAAATATGTCTCATATCATCACTTATTAATTAACCAGGTATACTTTGAGAACAAATTATAAGAGATTCTTGCCAATCAAATGAGTTTATACACAAAGTACTTCAGTTCTCAATCTACCCAGTATGTCCTGGTGAGTTCCTAGTAGTGAATGACTGGTACATACAATCTGTTATAAATAGTTATTCCTGATATATGTGATCATTTAACTGTTTTGATGAAAACTTAATGTCATTAGCTCTGTCATGTGTAGAACTGAAACCAGATGAAAAATGGAGTAGATTGGCTTTCAAGATTAACAGAGACTCGTGATGATCTCAGACCTTGTGTTATCTTTTTGTGTTGTTGTAGAAGCCAATATATAACAATTTGCAAAGATATTATCAACATTACTTTTAAGCAACTATTAATTCTTTAGGCAATTTTAAGAAACATTGGACCTGGACTTGTCTTCCAAGGTATCTTCAAATGATGGGAATTTTATTAGTGTTAAAAATGGAAAAAAAATACATTGCTTGTTACGAAGGTGCTCATCATGAAAGGTGAATTGTGGCTAGAAAATGCCATCTATACATGTTTTTATTCATACACACTATTGAGTGTGATATTATGTTTAGAACTTTGAGGTCTTAGTTGAGTTTTTTTTTATTTTCAGCTCAAAGAATTCAATATATATATCAAAACTGAACAAATGAAGCACTTGAGGTATCCGTAAAATGAAAACAGTGTACATTGACGCATTTTACTTTTTTCTTTTCAGCTTGGATTTCGAAGAATGTGCTCACAAACTGATAAAAATGGATTTTCCTGATAGCCAAACGGTATGTTTTACTAATATGGTTTTCTGAAGGATCAATATAAGAACTTCGGTGATATTAATTCGCATATTTAATCCAGTGCTTGCAGCATCACTTGTAAACATTTTTTTTTCCTTTTTGTTGTTTCCTGAGCAATTTATGAGGAATTTACTGATATTTATCTTGGTCATTCAGGTTGTTTTCTTTGAAAATTGAGTTATGATTCATTTAAGAACTGGGTGTTCCCTTAACAAATGAAATGCCCTTTTGAAATAGCTTGTTAATGGTAAGGCAGTACACCAAGTATTTCTTCGAGCTTTGTAGCAAGTCATTAAACCTAATAATCAATAGAAACCGTTATGTTCTGGCTCTGGTTTAATTACTTTAAATTTAAATTAAATTTATTAAAGGGAACTTTACATAACTGGCATTTTACTTTATTCAATAGTGTTCTTATGTAGTTTGGTTTTCTTTTTAAAGAAAATCCCCAGATTTAATTTAAGATGTAAGAGCAGTGCATGTTCTTGATATTTTCTTTTGAATATTTTCAGATTTACAGTACACTTTTATATGCGTAGTTTGCAGCATTATTATATTTTAAAATGGTACATTTGTCGGAAATGGGCTGATGCTTTGGAACAAGGAAAGACCAAGCAGAGTACATAATTGTGTGCCCATGCATTATAGAGATATTGATTTGCCAGCAGCACCTGCTGTGAGGGTTGGGGACGTCAGGTTGTGGAGCAGTCTGATTTTGCAATTCAAGCTCACAAGGGAACACTGCCGGAAATATGGAATGTCATTGTTACCTTCACTTTTTTCTTTTTTAAATTTCCTTGAGCACCCTGAGACCCACGACAGTTTTATCAAATATGAAGTGCAGTCGTCTATTTTCAGGATTATACATTTTAAACATTTTGATAAAAAATTATAATGTGGTGTTAAATCACTGTTTTTAATTAACATTTATTAAGCTGTAGATTTGTTATAATTGCTATAAAGTTATTTGATTGAATTCTGTTGTATGAGTTATTAATGAGCACGTTAAATGTGTGTGGTATTATAAATATACAGTACACCAAACTAAGCAAAGGTTTTACCTCTTCTTGTGCAAATATCATTCACTTTAGGAGTCCCCATTTAAAGTAGTGTTTACTGAATTTATTGCAAGGCTTTATGCTCAATGTAACGGTGGCTTTTTCTGAATCAGTGCTCATAGGCTGATACGCAATCAGTTGTGACAAGGACATTATGGAACCCAGACTTTGATGAAACTCCTGCTGAGTTGGCTGGTGCTTTTGTTTCTTAAGGGAAAAAAGACTCTATGGCACTAAAGCTTCTGTGCTCTGATATGCTGTTTGCTTTACCTCTTAGCTGACTTATTAAAACCCACAAAGATAGCAACAATCCCCAGAAAATTACCTTTTATACATTAACTGTACATCTTCTTGTTTCTATCATGCATTTCTGTAGTAATATAACTGTTTCAGAAACAGTGTTAATAATTAATGGTAGAAACTATTTTTAATGAAAATGAAAACTGCAAACTTTAAGCATTGTTTTCCCCATAATTAAAGTTATATACAAACAAATTAGATCCCTGTTATGGTATTGTTGTGTCCCCTGTATTAGAGTTGATTTCTTGGTAAAGTGCATGTTCTTTACTTTTTACATTTTTATTACTTCTGTGGATGCAGCACTACTGTGCTGTCAAACTTTATTGTAGATGGTAATAACAGACTAGAAAGTAAATTATGCGCACTCAATCACTTCCACTCAACCAACTCACTCTCCTGACCCTCCGGTTTGTCTGATTATCTTTCTTCTAATTTCTTTTCAGAAAGACATGTAAGAACTGAGTTTGCAATAATTTAGGGAAACACAGAGGCCTTTTTGGTGTTTTATTTGACAGCATAACACAGGCATTACTTTCATAAAAGATCTACACACAGCGTACATCTATTGATTTGGTGACAGGAACTGAATAACTAAAGCATGGCCCATGACGCACTTCTACATAAGCATGTTTACTCTGTTAACCAAGCTATGCCTTTATGAATGACACCAATTCAGGTCAGGCAAAGTAGATCTCGGAGAAGAAGATGCACAAGTGGTTGCCCACATTTACTAGCTTATTAATCTGCTTGTGAATAGGCTACTTTGGTTTTGATAAGCATTTGATATCTGTAATAGTTGTATGTTTGTTGGGATTCCTGATGCTATGATGGGCGTTTCCTTTAGGTCCCTGACTTTCCTGTGACATTCACCAGGGACTTTATAATGTGACCCATCTTGTTGAGCACCTATCTGTGCAGGTTCTGCACTCTTCAATGCAGATTTAAAATTTTGCTGCATGAGTTATGTTTCAAAACAACCTTTGTGGTGAAATAATACAGTACACATATACAAAATTAACATACTATTTAATGCCAATAATATACTTTTACTAATATCTTGTTGCCACTCTTTTTGCCATTCAACTTAGTTTTACCATAGTGGATAATCTTTTTAATGTAAAAGTAAAGGGTTATATTAAGTTACCTAATAGGAGCAATAAGATTTCTTTTAAAGAATCTTTGCCAATCCAGTTAATTTCTATATAGTCCACTCTTGGTAACATCGTAAGACCATTAACTGAGTGACTGAGATAAAGAATTGCTGCAGGCTTCGTTATGTCCTGCATCATTTTCAATATTTAATTATTCTCACTATTATATTCGATACACCTCTCTTCTCCTGACCAATTGGTACTTTTCTTGAATTACCTATTTTAAAAAATGATTGGATCTAATCAGGACTGAATGCCTCTAAATCACCCCTGAACTGCTTTGCAATCTTCCTCCATAGATCATTAAGGTTAGACACTTCAAGGCTAATTTAACAAATTTAGATCTGAATAAAGGTACACCGAGAAGCTGTTTGAAAAGCAGTTTTCTACCTCCAAAGGGGTAGAAAACTGCAAAACAGACACTAAAGGTGGTTTATTTAATAAAGGTATTTTCATAATAATGTAATAATAATAATGTTTCTTTATTAGCCCTATACAATTTCTTGCATTAGGAATGCGTCTTTTCTTATACCCCAGCTTTTCTCCATGGAGACAGACACAGAGACATGGAGAGAAGCTTGGGGTCAGAGCGCAGGGTCTGCCATTGTACGGCGCCCCTGGAGCAGTTAGGGTTAAGGGCCTTGCTCAGGGGCCCAACGGAGTAGGATTCCTCTGCCGGCCACGGGATTTGAACCGGCAACCTTCCAGTCACAGGCGCAGATCCCTAGCCACAGAGCCACCGCTCCGCCCTCATTCTTATAGCAGTAAAAATCTGTTCTAGAGATTTTTAGAAAAAATGTCTAAAAAATACAGTAAATATGCCTAACGTACAAGAAATGTCTTTGAACGTTTCAGAATTGGTACACACAAGCCCTATAATTTAATATATACATTGGTTATTTTGAAAAATCACTTTGCAAAAAGATCTAAAAAAACAATTGTGATATTTCTTGGAAATGTTTTCAGTCATACTTATTGTGGATGAACTAACATCCTGAAGTCAGACAGAGGTACAGATGCATTGCACACTGCTTTATAATATTGTATTCACTTTTATTCATCTGTTATTATCCATTAATAAATATCAATTTAACTCGGTCTAACTCACCTGCTGAAGACTCTTTACCACTGTAGGACAGTTCACTTCAGAGTTAAATAGATGGCAGCCAGTGGGAAGGCAACTGGCAGGTCATGAATAGGGCCGAATAATCCTGAATCTGGACAGTTTCCAAATGCTTTTGAACTCTGAACAGGTTTCCAGTAGCAATAATGCTGAGAAATGTTACTATCACTTTTGTGTATCTACACCAATTGATGCTTCTGCTTTGTTAAATTGTGTGGTATTTTTGTATTGCAATTTTCAAGATCCTTCAGTGATTTGATTTCACATGCATAGTTAATCAAAATTCACACAGACTGCCCATCTGTACACATTTGCATTTAAAACATTTGGGATCTCAATGCATCATATCTACTAATGTAAAGTTTTAAAACTTAAACAGTTTTCTTGTTAAGATTGCATAATTAAATCTCTTTATTCCTGAGACCTCCAAGGATCATTTCTAAAATACCCACATTTGATTTAGAAAGAAAGGAGTATATTTTAAACCAAGTTCTGACTTAAACAGTAGTTTTCATAATGGGAGTGTTGTGAAGTTTGTCCATTTTTATCCCAAGTGTGCAATTAAAAAGGGAATGCTGGAGAATGACCTTACTGAAATGTGGAAGTGATTATTAATAGTATATTTTAATGAGACTTATGTTTAAGTCACTGCAGTTTTGTGATTATTGCTACAGTGTTGAAAATACTGGAGTGGAGTTAATCCTTGTATTTAACAGTTGTCACTCAGTTTTCAGTGCACATCTGTTGCTTTTCAGAAACTGCCAGACAATTTAATTATTTTAATGAAATTAAAAAAGCAGTACAATTTACATGCAAAAATGAAAGAAGCAGGGATATCAATTTAAAAAATTCAGGTTTCCCATCAGCAGGTCATATTATTTTCAATTTTAAAATGGTAGCATAAGGCTTTATCGTTTCACAAACGATAAAGCCTTATGTAAAATGAGTTAAAGTCCAGTTTTTCTTTAAATAGTGATGACCTCATGTAAAACCTCCATCATAAGATCTGAAGTACTTAATTCTATCTGAATTGTACAAAACAGATTTTTTAGATGATTATTTATCTTACGTTAAGCAATTACATTTTCATTGGGCAGTTTTGATAATAGTATTAGAAATTACTGCTCTGCCTTATGGAAATTCTTAGAAATGTTTACTGTTGCGGTTTGCAGTTCAAATTTCTAAATGAGACAACATTTTTTCTACAGCAGTTTTCAGAATACCCCTTATTGTCCAATGTGTGGGCTTTTCAAGGGTTTGTTGCCCAAGGGGTTGGGTCATATAGTGTTTCAGCTTGTCCATTACTGGAGGCTTGTGAACACCATGTCAGGTTCCATTCCTCATGGAATTGATTTTGATGATATGGCATCATGCTTTTTACAGACCAGGTGGTGTGCTGTTTCTGAAACATTTCTCCTGTTCATACGCCATTACACATTTAGCTTTGGAGCATTGGATGAGTTGCTTTTTTTTACAGTATGGCCATCCTGGCTTTCAATATAATATTACCATGCATTTCTTTGAAATCACTGCCCCTCATCCTGTCCCTTTTTGTTCGGGACTGTGAATGTTGTCAAGAGTGTATAAGCTAAATGACGGATTTGAGCTGATATACATGCATAGTAGATAGCAGGGTCTTAAAGTTAATCTTTTGAAGAGAAGGGCATGATGTTTTTAAAATATAACTTTTTAAGTCTGTTATTGAGCTATTTCACAGATAGCTAGATAGTACTGTAACTAGCACTGATTGAGAAATACATGAGATTTGGAATTGTTATTAAGATTATAGAAATAAATGTCCGTTGTAATGACACTGTTGAGGTGGAATCCAGGAACGCAAAGAGCCCACTTGCTGCACAAAAGGCAGCTGTGTCTGGGAGCCTGCATGAAGCACACAGAGAATGTCTAGAGCTGCGTGTTATTTCAACCGGAGGGAACTGGGGGCACGCACTCTGGGGATGAGTAGCAGGCTTCTTGCTGACTGGTGAGCCAACTTCCACACATGCAGACAGACATGGTACTGTGACTTGCTAAGGAACCAGAGTGTGGTGCAGGCAGACAAAGTCCAGGGTTGTTATCCACAGCAAGCAAGGGTTGTAACCAGGAAGACAATTTAGCAAAGCACAAGGGAATGTTTGGTAGATGGGTTGATGTGACACATGCTCTGTCCCCTGCACACTGAAGCGAAACCACACACAACTAAATATATTTCACAACAAGGCTGCTATTTAAGTAAATAAACACTTAATTTATCTCACCAAGTTTAACTGCTTTGTATCTAGTGATTTATTTCATGGGTGCATGCATGGAAGTGGATACACTATGTAAAAAAATGCTCTCTTAAGGGTGTGACTTAAATAGAAAAGATAGGTTCTGGATCGGATTAAAGGAGGCAACATAGAATAGTGTATGTGAAACCTTATATTAATGGTATTGTTTTCAACTGTATATATTCAACTATGTAAATTTCTTGCCACCAGGTGTTCTCCACATTTGTTGGTTTTTGGGAATCCTTAAATATCATTTCGCCCAAGTGCTGCTGTTGGATTGTCCATCATTTGCAGCACGCAGAGATTTTTTAGTTTTCTCCACCCGTGTCTACCCATACCCTACATGGGGGGTGTGACAGCTCAAGAGACAAGTCAGGGTCAAAACCAAGGGGTGATCCAGGAGATGAAGTAGTAACAAGCCAGCAGGAGTCAAAGTACCAAAGAAGTGATCAGACATGAATTAAGCTCAAGAGCCTCAGTGTTCAAACTTAGTGACAGACCCTAGATTTCTGTCAGATCCGTGTATTTATTCTCAAGAGCACCTGCAGTGGGTGTGGTAAACTGAATCCAGGTGCTCAGAGTCACCAGGTGATAACATTCAGTTACGTCTCTCTCTAAACCGGCTGCTCCAACACAGCTAGCTCACTCACAGAGCAGCAGCCCAGGCGTGTATGACATCCATGTTGCTTCCCAGCTCCAGTAGTCCAAATTTCTTTAACCAGACACACCACAGGGTAAAGAAGATATCGGTATATATCGGTATCGGTGATCAGCTGCCTAGAACCCCTGGAATAGGAAAGATCCATCCATGACTTAAGTGCACCTTAATGAGAGGCCAGCAGCCATATCACCCTGCAACTCAACTGGCAACCCACTGAAATTAAGCAGGTGTGAGCCTGGTCAGTACCTGGATAGGAGACCTCCTGGGAAAACCTAAGGTTGCTGCTGGAAAGGTGTTAGTGGGGCCAGCAGGGGGCGCTCACCCTGTGGTCTGTGTGGGTCGTAATGCCCCAGTGCAGTGACGGGGACACTATACTGTAAAAAGGAGCCATCCTTCGGATGAGATGTGAAACCGAGGTCCTGACTCTCTGTGATCATTAAAAATCCCAGGGCATTTCTCGAAAAGAACAGGGGGTGTAACCCTGGCGTCCTGGCCAAATTTCCCATTGGCCCTTACCAATCATGGCCTCCTAATAATCCCCATCTATGAAATGGCTTCATTACTCTGCTCTCCTCCCCACTGATAGCTGATGTGTAGTGAGCGTTCTGGCGCACTATGGCTGCGGTCGCATCATCCAGGTGGATGCTACACATTGGCGGTGGTGGCGGGGAGTCCCCATTACCTGTGAACCGCTTTGAGTGGAGTGTCCAGAAAAGCACTATATAAGTGTAAGCAATTATGTCCCAGCAGACCCACTGCACATAAGATTAGATGGAGAAAGAAACTCCCTCTCCATGGAGAGAGAAACTAAATTCAACATTTAACGTTTTATTTGAAAATTTAGGAAGGCCAGATTTTGGCAAGTGTTACACACACCAGAGTGATAAGTTACTTCACCACATGAGGGCCTGAGGGTCCTCTGGATTTCCTGCCACCTTTCTTCTGAATTCCATAATTGAACAGGGTATTGCTTAGCTGCTCATTGAAATATATTCATAAAAACCCCAATTTTGGTAAAACAGCTATAGCTAAACATCCTGCAGCTATTTAACTAGAGTACATACTATTGTTGGCTATTAAGTTATTATATCTTACTTCACTGGGATAAAGATATCTGCTCCTCATGGGTGGAAAAAATAGGTTAAATTTAACTCAGAATTTCATATTATTGGTTTGTCAGATATAAATCAATATATGTCAGTCAAAATTGAAAGTAATGTTTTGGTAATGTAGTTTCCATTTATAAAATTTATTTGTATCCTTATCCTCAACCGTGGAAATTACTTTATGTAAAAAAAATAATGACAGCTTTAAGGGCAGCACGGTGGTGCAGTGGTTAGCATTGCTGCTTCTCTGTGCTGGGACTATGGGTTCAATCCCTGACCTGAAAATATGCGGATGCTAGCAGAATGTTTCTCCTTGATGTGTTATAGCTTTACATTAAAATTAAATGTTTTCCACAGTAGATAAGTGCACTCAATACCGTTAGTCTATTATCGTGAACATTTTACTATAATAGAGAGAGATTACTATAATCAGTGATGTTTTGATTTGCACAACAACTATAGTAGATGAAAACACATGAACACCATGAACTGTAAAGAAAAGCTTATTCTTAGGCAGTACAGTTATCTGCAATACATAATAGTTAAACCTTAGGTACATACTTCAGCTGAGTCTTTTTTGAGAGGTGAGCGTGATGTAATGCATAGACTTGTCTTGTTTTTCTGTATGAAAACAATCTAAAGCTTTCTTTTAATTATTTACCAGCCTGTGAATGCTCTTCTGAAGAACTGGATTGTTTTAAAACTGTATTCGCTGCTTTTAAAATTATTGGACCCTCTTGCCTAAAACTTGGATTTCAAATAGGTCACAGGCAGTCGATGCATGTTGAAAGCAGCTTTAGTTGTTCAAAATGTTTTATATATATTGGGAACTGGGTAAGCCTTTTCTGAAGATAACTGCAGAGCCTGAGTGCGCACACATGGGATTCAGACTGTTGCACTTATACATCACTACGTCACACTTTTGTCTCTGGTAGTGCTGCTGTTTCATCCACAAAACAGAGACTTGTATTTGAGCCATTTTTATAAACCTCTCAATGTTTTAGGTTGAGGTAACTGAAAATTTGTTTTCTTCCTACAGAAAGAGTTATGCAATATGATTTTGGACTGCTGTGCGCAGCAAAGAACATATGAAAAGTTTTTTGGTCTTCTTGCTGGGGTGAGTCCAATACTGTTTTTGTCATCTTTACACTTACCCTTCATCTCTGAAAGGTGAAAGACTGCCTTTTTTTTGCAGACATTTCCCAGAGCTTGTCAACAAAAAGTATACTTCAAAAAGGAAGTCGTAAAACCTCTTTATGATTGATTTAAGCTAGTGATGATGCTGATGCGAATATGAAGGATTTTAATATATATATCTGATGCTAAAAGAATTTTATGTGGTAACTTTGCAATGTGTCTTGTTCAGTAACATCCTTTTTTGTGTTATCTGCAGCGATTCTGTTTGCTAAAGAAAGACTATATGGAGAGCTTTGAAGCCATATTTAAAGAACAGTATGAAACCATTCACCGACTGGAAACCAATAAATTAAGAAATGTTGCCAGAATGTTTGCACATCTGCTGTATACAGATTCTGTCCCATGGAGTGTAAGTAGCAAAACCACTGCCTTAAAATTGATATGGTTAATAAAATATTAATTTCTTTTCAGTTTTGGCAGAAATAAGTTAACAGATAGGTTGTTATAGAAAAACTTTGAATACAGAATTTATTTAAAAAAATAATTTCATATGAAAGCAGTTTAGATACTGTAAAGTGCCCTACCAGCAAAAATCACATTCAAGATGTAAACAGAACCCTTACTTGGATTTTATTTTTAATGTATTTTCTTTAAGGTCCTGGAGTGTATAAAGATGAGTGAAGAAACGACTACGTCATCAAGTCGAATCTTTGTCAAAATTTTATTCCAAGAGCTCTGTGCATACATGGGACTTCCTAAACTCAACGAACGGCTTAAAGATGTGTAAGTTATATGACACAGAACCTGGCTGTCCAGTAAAAATTGAAAACAGTTTTTATCTCGTATTTCAGATTCCTAACTGATATAGTTTCACTGTTTCTATAGTAAGATTTTATTTTTTAATTGAAATTTTGAATGTTGGAGGAAACTACAGAGATTGCCAAAATGCTGTAGGATATGATTCCAAATAAATTATTTTCAATTAAACTTTCCATTTTTTAGCACTTTGCAGCAGTTCTTTGATGGGCTGTTTCCCCGCGACAATCCCAGGAACACAAGATTTGCCATTAATTTCTTCACCTCCATTGGCTTGGGAGGTCTAACGTAAGTGAAACGCTTGACATTTGCTTGCTTCTTCTTGTTCAGATGAGCGCAGGAGTCCATGTTTTCTCGTCAGTGCTAAGTAATTGATCACATGGTGTTCTGGTATTTATATGAAGCATTGTACATATACAGCATAGAATATGTCACTTTTAATGAATTCCTTACAGGTTTGTAACTTTTCTGTTTGTTTCTTAAGCTTTTTGTTCAGTGTTTCTAGTGGTATTTGTGCACCTCACAGAGAACTGCTTCCTGTGTACATAAATAAGCACACAATGGTTTTGTTTCTGATTTCACCAGAGATGAACTTCGAGAGCATTTGAAAAACGCTCCAAAAATGATAATGACACAGAAACAAGAGGTGGAGTCATCAGATACTTCGTCGTCGTCCTCCTCCTCGTCTTCATCCTCTTCTTCAGGCTCGGACAGTAGTAGCAGTGACAGTGAGAGCAGCACGGACTCCTCCAGTGAATCAGAGCCCTCGTCCAGCAGTGGAAGCAGTAGCTCAGGTACCCACACAGCACCCTGCTCTGTGAGCTGTAGTCAGCAGGTCTAATTAAAGTTAATAGTGTTACTGAAGCAGTAATTCCTAATTACAGTGTAATTGTAAGTAAATTCCCAAGAGGTTTGTATGGTCTAGCAATCAGCGAAATATCCTTAATTTGGAATAATTTGTTTTCCTGTTGACTATTGCTTATGTGCCAAAAAAAAAAACACACACACAAAAGACACACGTATATAGAAAAAGAAAACAGCCACACACATTAAAAAAGATATATATATACTGAAGGTTTAGTAACCATCTTTTGAGTAATCTCAAGGAGGTACATCTTGTAGCCATACCTAGAGTAAGAATAGTGCCTACAGTTTTAGTCACCTCATTTTACAAAATATTTGCTGCTCTGAAATGAGTAGCGGAACCACGTACATTCCCAACCTTAAATGAATCTCTTGTATTGACAGTCTTAAACAGAGAAGACTGAGGAGGCCTGAGTCAAATATTCAGAATCCTCAAAGTAAACCCTGTGTGCTTTATAAACACCAGAGGAGAGCACTGGAAATTGCATTAATTTGCATTAAAGATTGAAATCTGGATGAACTAAATTAACTACAAATTACAAGACAGTCTAGATGGGCCTTTTTTAACCATTATGATGTTCTTAAAATCTTTGGGAATGATACGTAAACATGTATTATCAGATTACAGTGTAACAATATCTCAAAGCACTTCACAGCATACTAAAAATACGTATAGTGTATATGAAATATTTCTGAGCTCCAATAAGATAGATAACCAAGTTTTTTTATTCAAAAATTGAATAAAATCAATTAAAAGAAGCAGTCATCATGCATTATTAATATAAGAAAGTTGTTGTTTTGTTTCATTTTATCAGTATGTTGCCATAACACGTTTTTATTGTGTACAGTTGCCGTTACTAGTTTACCACAGTTTTTCTGCTTTGTTATATTTACTTCCTTCAGCATATCGACTGCTGTTAACATTTTCAAAATAAAGGACTATCAATGAATAAATAATCATTGAGAAATGTTTTAGCAAAAGATATGTAGAGTTAGAGATGTTTGTTTCTTAATTTTTTATCAGGCTTATGTTGTCAGTTGTGTTATGACTTACCCATGCATACCAAACTATGATTAAAAACAGCAGACATTATACAAATTTAAGATACAAATGTGACTAAAATACTTTCCTATATTTTTAGGAATTAAAAGTGAAAGATTTGACAATAAAAACAGAATAGGATCATTGCTTAATTTTAATGCAAAGCATGTTGCCATTAGTAACACCTCCTCTGCAGTATTGCTATACCTCCTGAAGTGAAAAGCTGTATATTTTTTAGAACTCAAGCTTAAATATATTTTAAGGAGTTGAGTGTTTTTCCCACATTTCAAAATGTTGTTAATCTTTCAGTGTAACTAAGTAGAAGAAATCGGAATAAGCTTGTATAATTATTAATACTATTAAGTGGTCCATAAAAATGGCCTTTTCACTTCCTGGGGTCCTGCTGTTTTTGCAATGTTGACCTGCCTGCAGTGTTGCCCTGGGAATGTCATGAGTTGCCTGTTATTTCACCGTGAGGAATTTCTGGGCTTTGAGCTGCCGTGTCCCACTTATATCATTCAGCTGAGTCAAATTATTTTAATTGACTATTTATCGTTTATAATCTTTTAATGAATTGGTACAATTAGAAGTCTTCAAAGGGAATTTACACGTGTATTATGTTGAGTGGTCTGCAAGGTTACATGCAATTACATTTTTGTAGTCTCTTTAGATATGTGGGGTAGTTATTTTTTATATTTTGCTTATATAACCTCTGTTTGCTAATAGCACTATTAATTCATTGCGTTTCTATAGCACTTTGTATCCCAAATATTCTCAATTTGCTTTACATATAGAAGAGGACCCACCCCTATCCACCATTGAAGTAAAGCACTCAGCCTTGATCAATCAACCAGCAACCTGCACCAGTTAAGGGTGATATTTAGGTTGGCCAGACTGTAGAAGCTAAATTAAAGTGGATTAAGCCCGGACAACAGGGTTAACACGTTTACATGTTGTTTAGTCTTCAGCGATGAAATAGTTGGGACTTTAATTTAAAGTTTCAATTAAGGACTGCACCTTGTGCAGCACAGTGTCTTTTATCGCCATACTGGGGCATTTCCAGTAGCTGTCACCCTGCCACTCACAAATGGCAACCCACTGAACTAAAGCAGTCGTTAACATGGCCCAAAATCCCAGGGCATTTCTCAAAAGGAGAAGGGTCCTAGACAAATTTCCCCCTGACGTTTACCAATCATGGCCTCCTATTAATCTCCATCTATGAATTGGCTTCATTACTCTGCTCTCTTCCCTACTGGTGGCTGATCTGTTGTGAGTGTACTGGCACACTGCCTTGCATCATCCAGGTGATGGTGGAGCATAGTCCCTATTAACTTAAATAATTTTTAGTGTAGTTTCCAGAAACTTGCTATATAAGTGTAAGGATTATTATTACGACTACTTTGGAAATTGTGTTCTAGGGAAAAGTAGCCTTACTGGTCTTCCAGCACCACAGACTTTCCTAAATGTTTCCCTTCCTCAGCACAGTTTTTAAGGTTCTGAAAAATTGTAAGACCAAGCTGCAAGATGGCAATGTTGCTGGAGCTAAAATTAAAACAGTGCCTACATAAACCATAGTAATACGTGTATGTCTATTTCTGCATTTTGGCTTCTAAAGAATTGTGTAGATCTTAGCTAAATAATTTTCGTGACAAAGCGACTAGTGTTTCTAATGTGACATAATGCACTTTAGTGATGATTTGCTGAAGTTGAGATTTTGTCTCTGAAAAAGAGTCCAAGAATTTCATTCTGAAAAAAACTGGAGTATACTTAATTAGCCACAAATAATATGTGAGTTGCAAATTATGAAAGTGTATTATAGAAATAAAATACATCTGCACAAATAACAGATTACAGAGATTATAAAGTCATGGAGAGAATTGCAGCAGCTGGAATTGACCACAAATCCATTGATTCAGCAAAGAACCAGATGGCACCTAAGTAAACGGCAGCAGCTTTGCTGAACTTCTTGACATAGCACTTAGGAGGGATATGTCTAATCCAAAGCATATGAAAATGGAAAATAGTCTGCACGGCTTGTGTGTGTAAAAAGATGCACATATTCAAATGTGTTTACTTAAGGCTAGTTCTTATTTTTGCCTGCAATAGAAGCAGGTAAACGTTTGCACCATTGAGCTTACATTTGTTTTCTAGTTTGATTATTAGGTATGAAAGTAGTAACTGACCATATAAATTCAGAATGCCACCCCAAAAAAGGCAAAAATAATCGTTAGCATTATAATCTGTAAAATTGCTCCTACAATAATTGAAAATAGTAGATCTATACCGATCTGGGTCAATACAATCATTTAATAACCCTAAGTCTACTGCCAGTCCTCTGACTTCAGGCATGACAATTCTGCCAAAGTGTTGATGGTGGCTTTGTTAAATGTGGCTGGTCCTCTTTCTCAGTTATCAATTACTGCACACTTCCATGTTTTGTAGTTTTGTGAGATTAGGGTAAATAGGACAGTACTAATAAGAGATATCGAGCAACACCATGTCTTATTAAAAAAATCTTATTTCTTTTAACAGATTCAGATTCAAGGCGCAAAAAAGTGCAAAGCAAGAAGAAAGACAAAGGATCTGCAAAGTCAACCACAAAGAAATATTCCAGTAAGAAGCAAGACCCCATACGCAGAGACAGCAGCAGTGAGGAACGAGAAAGACCAACTGAAAAAAACAGCAGCAAAACCTCCAGACACAGAGACAGAAGAGAAGAGCCAAAAAGTCCTGACTGGAGTCACAAGGACCAGCACCGCAGGCAAAACAGAGACTGTGAGGACAAAGAGTTTGACTCTCGAAAAGAACGAGAAAACATGAAAAATAACTCCCAGTCTGATTATGACAGAGACAGATACAGAAGCAGGGAAGAGGAGCCGCAAAGTCGCTGGAGAGAAAGGTCAAAGTCAAAAGAAAGGAGTCGCAAAGAGACAAACTCCAGAACAGACAGTAGGGACTTCTATAAAAATGGAGTTGAAAAGCAAACAGAGAAATCTGACAAACAGAGCAGACACTCCGATAGATACAGGGATGCTAGGAAACCTGAAGACAGGCATAAGGAGAGCTCTCCCAGGAGAAAAAGATAACATCCACATTGCAAATTCAAGTGTACTACACGTTTCTTTTTAAAATCATGATAAAAATGTATTAGACTATTTTTTGCTGTTGATGCATCAGTTACTGCATACTCCCAGGGCTTTTCTTTTCTGGTGATATGTAAATGTTTTAGTAACTGAAATGTTTATACAGGAGATCAATGCTTTACTTTAGGGTTACTCTGTAAAACTAGAATTGTTTAGAAAAATGTATCAGCAGAGGGAAAATTATTTCTTTTAAAAATTGTTGCATTTTTTACTTTGTCATGTCAGTTGGGTTTTTTAATATGGTATTATTACTTAAATATGAACAACCTGTGAAATATTTGTAATTGAATGCAATTTTCTATGATTTGGCCTAATGTTTTCTTACTGGTGTTGTCAAAAATATATTAAAATAAGAAACCTGTGACCCGTTTTTTTTTTCCAGTTAGAAACCCATTCTAAAATTTAAATCATTATAAAACTGATTTTCAAAAATCTTTAAACTTGGTGTTGTAGTTGACCTCAGTTATACTATCTGGAAAAACATTGTTTGCTTGACCTACTTTTAATACTGCTGAGCAGATGACAGTTTCTGGAACTTAATGTCGAGTGATGTAAAAATTAGGAGAGCGTGATTGGTTTACAGTAATTAGCTTAAGTGATTATTGCATGAGGAGTGTACAGTGCTGTCAGTACTCAGTACCATGGCTTTCCACTATTCATGAACCAGTTGTGCTGTATCTGTCTTAAAATCACTTAGGGGACACTGAATGTTAAAAGTAATTGCAACTGTTCTTGAATTATCACGTGCACTAAGGAAGAGACAGGCTCAGTAAGCCAGTCTTTCTGTAGTTGAAATTAATTACATATAGTGTTTTACGAGAGGGTACAAATTGAAAACATATAACAAGAAGGCTAGTTAAAATGTACTTTTCACAAAGTGCTGATTAGGTAAAACAATTGGTTGGAAGTTCCCCATGAAAAATAATTTGTATATATTGCTGTTAATGCCTGGTGAAGACCATGTGTTTGAGTTTCCTTAATGGTGTCAATGAATAGTAGTAGACCTTGACATTATTTTAATGTTGGGGTAATTTTTTGAGTATGTTTTTTTATTGTTTTTTACCTGAAGAGTGGATGTGCTCCCTTCTTTGAACAAATTGAACAATTCCGTATATATTGCATTTTGGACGTTTTCTAGGTCTCTTTAAAGCAGCAGAATGGGAAAGACTGCTAGAAGGTGTTATGTTGGTACAAAAATTAAGTGACTAGCCCTTTGACACACCTGCCTTCCAGGACGAGGATGAGGGCGGTCTGTATGTATTATAAGAATGAAATGATTCATAAAGACAAAAAATAAGCAAAAGAATCACTAAAATACTAATGCACTAATATAACACTTTTAAATGGACCCCCCCACCACACCCCCCAAAGATCTACAAATTATTTGCAAACTTGTTTATGAAGATGATAAAATAACTGCAAATAACACAAAGACCTTTTTCATCAGATTCTCAGAATCCAGTGTTGGTATTAATTTGGGAATTTCATCCGCTGCCTGCATATAGTTTGTTAAATATACATCATTAGTGTGGATCCGGGCGGATCCCTGTAAAAAAAGATAAGAATCATGCGAAATATATTCATAGCCAAGAAATTGCTCAAAAATATAAACATTGCAGTCATAATGAAATTTGTCTGTTTTGTCAGTTTAAAGGATGTTATTCGGAAAAGAATTCTACACATAAAGCTCTTCCTTCCTGGAATGGACAAAATCCAGTTGAAAACTTGCTGAGGAAAAAAAACTTCACTACTCACCAGTTCTTTTTAGCTGTTGTATGCTTTTACATTTCCAGAAATCTAATTTTTCTGGAGGATGAAATGCTTTATGATAACTTGAATGGGATACCAAGCCGTGCAGACATTGCTGATGTATAGGGTCTGTCAAGGGCAAACTGAATTGTTAAGAGACAATTTTCTCTTAGGAAATGAGAGAACATTGATGGGACATTTTTTCATAAATCTTCCAGTCTTAAGGGATATATGTCATCGGTAGCATTAATAGGAAATTTCCTTACATCTCACCATATTCCATTAAGATTTTCAAACTTTTTTTGTTTCAAAAGCAAAAATGTTTTCTTTAAAGGATGCCCATCTCGGGTTTTAGAAAAATTACGTTGCAGTCTTGAGGAACATGTTTAGATGTTATATCGACAACCCTGAAAATGCTGCTCCTGGGAAATGTACTTTATAAACATGATTTAGAAGTGCTGTTGAAATTTTAAGAGGTTTTGGAAGATTTAATTTGAACAAAAGAGAAATACTTTAAACAATTTTTTAACATTATTTCAAGCAGCTGGGGGGGCTGCTTTCTCGATCCTCCTCCAGATGACTGCATCACATTCATATCTAAAGCTGACAACTTAAGTTCTTAATCTTCTTATTTATGCTGTACACAATTTTAAACATTTGTTCAATTATTCTTACACTGTAATTTGAACAGGAAGAACAGCCATTTTACTGCTCTTCACTTTCTTGTCTCCTCTAATATTCACTTGACTACACACTACATACTGTATATATAGTATTAAGAATTTAAATTGTAATGTATACTTCTTATAACAGGTGTAAATTTAATTTTAAATGAGAGAAATGTTTTGTATTCTTTATGTGATCAGAAAGACAGCTGTTCACACTTAGAACTCTTCTTCACAATAAAGAAACCAATTTGAAATTAACTTCATTAGTGTGGCAACCATATTATCTCTTATCCTGCTTCTCTTTCTCTTTGAAATTGAGTGATTTTTTTCCTGCTAGTTTCTTGTATGGATATACTGGATTATGTTATATACTAAAATTGAAAAACAAAACTGCAAGAAGTAAATTTCAGGTTGTATTGAAAGAATAAAAACTAGGCTTTATTAGACAGTATTGCATAGAATGCATAAAAGAAGAAGCTTGTTGAATTTCTAATCATTGTAGAGTAAATATATAATCAAATGCTAAAACATAATGGGAAATGAGTGATACTGAATAGCAGAGCAGCTCTGTTTACTAGTACAACTAAGTCTAAGTGTGAGGGTGTGAAAATCTGAGTTTATTTCCCAGCCCTTGAAGACTTGTTGAATATGTTTGAATCCAGCATGATACTAACCCTATGTGTTTTGCAGAAAAGTGTGATAACAGTTATGGATTGGCCATTTTACCCCCTGATGTGAATCGCATTGAGATGTTAATCAACTTGATGGGTGTAGTTGCGAGATGAAAACCAGAGTGGACTGCAGAACTGAAACTAGTTTATGTTGATGAATGGGAAAAGCATCTTGGGAATATTGGTTAGGTTTCATCAAGTAGTAAAAAAAGGAAGGGAAGAATGTGAATTTAGGTTTGATCAAAATCTTTCTATTAAAACATTAAATCCTTTTTTTAATGTGTGTAAAAAGTTGAAAGTTTATAAAGTTGAAATTTTTTTCAACACCATAATTGAAATCATAATAAACTTTTGTGTATGTTTTTATTTTTTAATTGTTTATGCCTGCTACTGCATAAAAAGAGGACAACTAAAAACAAGGAACTCTTCTTTGCAGCAGTGGTTGCTGTTTAAACTTTGGCCAGCCTAACGGTACCATGCTTGAACAAAAACTGCCATTTACTGCTTTTCCTTCAGCATTAATCTTATGATGCCATTGACGGGAACAGTTTTCAGATGTTTACGGAATATGTTCCTCACACATTTTCAGCATTTCCACCTATTAATTCTTTTACAACTTCAAAATCAACAGGAGATGTTCTCCTGAAGCTCAAGTCTGCTTGCATCAGAACATCAGCATTTTCACCATGACATAACACCGTGACAAACTGAAAATTAAACAAAAACATTTGATCTAGCCACAGCAACGTCAGTAACTGGAAGAACTTTTTGTTGAGGAGACGGTTAGGACATTACATAGTTAGGCAAAAAAGAATGCGCCGGAGATGGAGCTACTGGAACTGCAGATTTATATTTTTGAGGATCTGACAATATGCATAGAGCCATTTACCCCACGTTAACAGAACAATAACACAGTAGCTAAAAAGTCCATCAAAAAGGTGAAGCACTGAAGACTATCCTGAATACCTCGGCTAACATTACATTGCCAAACAATTTGGCTCCATTCCCAAACCTGGAAACAAATAGTCAACACTAAGAACCTCAAGGCAGCAGCTCCCACTCAATTGAAGTATTACATCAGGGACACTGAGTCAGCAATGGTATACCATCTTCTTAGAGCTGAGGTGGCGAACATCATCCAGGAGCAGACAAGCTTGTAGCAAAAGGCAGGTGAAGGCCCAGTTGTTGCTCATTTTGGGACCTACAACACTGGCATATTACAGAACATTTTCCATGCTAAAACAAATTCAAAGAACTTGGAAACAGCCTGAAGAGTAGAACTCAATCAAGAATCCTGTCTGCATCACACAAAACTTTTTAATGGCAAAGGCCATCTGTACAGACTGTGATGGATTACATCTAAATCATATGCGTATCAGTAGACCTGGAGCAAGGATCTGCAGAGAAATCTAAACTAAAAAATATTTGAACTAGGAAGGAATAGTGGAGAATAAAAAAAAAATCTATTTTTGAGGGTGTAGGATCAAACAGACAGATCAAGAAAAAAAAACTTGAACACCCAGGTAATTGCATGCTTATTCTTAAATTCCTGGAGTGTAAGGAACAAAATGCAAGAAATAGAAGCTACTGTGTTTTTACATGATTGCAATGTACTGTAATTAGAATTACTGACACAGTAATAGTGACTAATGCAACTTTATCTTCATTGACTTTCATACAGAATACTGAAGCCACATTAATCTAGATTAATCAAGGGTCTCATAATCTACACAGGCTAGATTTTGATTCCGGTAAGGCATATGGGGCATAACTGTAAAGGGTGAATTGTCAAATAGGTATGATATCATTAGTAGAGTACCACAGACATCCATATTAGGACCCTTGCCCTTATAAAATGCTTTAGATTGTGGTCTATTCACTAGGCAAATATAAACATGATATTAAAATGGAAACCCTGCAGAAAAAAAATAAGAAAAATATTAAGATTGAGTAAAAACATGGCAGATGACATTTAACAGAAACAAGTGCAGAATGGATTCAAGGATCTCATCTATTTTCAGGGTATCAGCTTCAACAATGTGGTTTTGCGCAATACCTTGTTCCACACTCCCTGAGCCCTTTGTCTGAAAAGTGCCTGTCTCCAATTTAATTTCTTATCCACGTAGTTTCTACTTGTGTCCTATGGGTTGTATTTCACTGTTTATTCACATCCCACTGTCAATGTCTTTGAGAACTTTGAATACTTGAATCAAGTTCCACATAGTCCTCTCAGTTCAAGACTAAAAAGTCTATGTTCATTCAACAATTTAGTTTAGAACAAT